ATTTGTAATACAAAAATACTTGTTCAGAAATGTAGACTTCTGAAAGAAAATTAAGCTTTCCACGCCGATGATACAGTTAAACTGGATAATTCGAACTTGTTTAATTCGAAATTTTTGCATTATCTATAGATTTCTGTTAGAAGAAATAATGTAAAGAACGGCATTAAAAGTACGTGAAAAATTCAAATCTTGTTTTAAATAACTCGAATTTTCGAAGACGAATTTGAATTATTCGAGATTCGAATGAACGAAAAGACGGTTTTTTTAAGAAATAAAATACTGAGGTCACTTCCCTTCTGCTTTCATTATAAATTAAAATTCCAAAGTCTGTCACCCCTGAGAAAAGATTTGGACACATCCCTTTGGCCAGAAACTACTTTGCAGCGAGTTTTCTTCGTAAGTGCAATTATTCATTTGGGTCTTAAAGGGAGGATTTATTAGCCCTTTGGCACAGAATTTTAAACACCCGTAGTTTATAGTCTCAAGTCAAAACTCAAGTCACTTCTTTCGACTGATAATATCAGTATTATCTCTCAGTTTTGATGGAAATGGGAAGATCGAAATGGTACAGCATTTTCAAATCAAAGAAAGATCTTGTGGGGATTTAATTTATGACTGTGTCAACCTTCATCTATCAAAAGGTACCTCAAGATAGAATCGAGTTGACTTTGTCTTATATACTACCGATTTGGTATTTTAATATTTGTAGTGGTAGTTAGTTATGCCACAATCTCTAAAATTTGGAAGCAGACTTTGTGCTTGCAAAATTCGTCACGTGAAAACTTTTGGCGCATTTCCAGACGAAAATTTTAAACATTTGAGAAGATNTAAAAAGACAGACAGTTAATTGCATCAGACGATCGCAATGCTAAACGAATGGACGGGAATCGAAGCGGTCTCAGTGAACGGCAAGTTTGGGCTACAGTCACGTGACTTTATCTTGTCCACGGGTCGGGGGTTATTCTACTCTCTCTACCCAGTATTTCAACTCTATGCTTGGAACCCTCCTATCTGAGAACTAAAATAATAAAAAAAAGTGAAGTAATCCTACATTTCTATGATTGAAGTTGTTTTCAAACCACCTCAAAAACATAATTCCGCAGGGTGTTCCATAAATAACAGTTGATTTGAAAAATCAGTTAAAGAAAAAAAGATTGTGTTTAAAAAACCAGCCATTCATTCTCATCAAATTTCAAAGTCAATTGCAAATTTCGCCACCAGATGGAATTGCCGATTAGAAATACTACTAAACAATGTTTGTGATTGAAATATTTACGCGAAGGTCAGTTAATTTTGTTTTTAGACTGCATCACGTTGGCTATTTTTAAAAATATCGTTTTACAATTCTCTGATCGTTTTACAATCGTTTTCAATTAGCAGCGCCATCGGTTGAGGAGTTCTGTACCTAATTTTAAAAATTGATAAAAAAATTAATTTCCTATCTTTACTCAATAAAACTCAAATTATATTTCTTTGTGTTTTCCTCTTTCTTTGATTTTTCCAACTTGTCGCGTCATTTTGAAAACCAGTAATCGACCACTGTGTCCAGTTGTTTGCGTAGACGTAAAAAAAAAACATCTTTACTGGCAATCAAAAAGATTTTTTTGAAGTTCCAAAATATAAAAATAAATCACGGTGAAGTTACGGCACTGGAAGTAATCATCTTTTTTATTATAATACTAAATTACGAAGTTTCTCTAAAGGTAGGCACCTCCGATGACGAAGTGAATAATCTTAGAAATACGGACGTGATAAGTTTGCCAAACAAAAAACAAGATTTGACATTCATTGTTGTCGTAAAGGTCACTAAAAATGAGTAAAAAAAAAATTCAAGGTTGGAAAGGACTTTTTTTAATTTAGTCTCAGACAAAATTTTTAAAAAAATTCCAGTTCACATTTTTAGCTAAGCTTAAAAGTTCCTCAACTACTAATGACAAAGACACTAATCAAGAAAATAGAGCGTGCGATATTTTTTTATTGCGGCTTGAACTATCTAAACCAGCGGTTCCCAATTTTTTTTCCAGCTACGGAACCCTAAATAATCAACCTTCTCTGGCGGAACCCCGACTTTAGAAATAAAGTAAATGAAGACGATTCTGAATATATTAAAAATTAAAACATTATTTTGAGTTTTAGACTTTTTTTATTTTAAAAAGAAGAATGAATTTTTTTCCCCATCGTTTAATCATTAATAACCTTAAATTCGATTTTATGTGCGACAGTTGAATCTACAGTCTTAGGGCTAAACCTAGCTTTTCTTTTCTTTCTGGTACTGCAATAAAATTAAAAAAATAAATAACTGCTAGAAACGTTGAAAAAAGTTAATAGGGAAACATATTTCTTTTGGAGCCCAAACGATTTTTCTTTGTCTTTTAAAACGATATCTTTCAAAAATGAATATTATTTTATACTTAATCAATGCTTTCTTCTTCAAATTACTCACTTATAATCAATTGTTTGTAAAAGGCTCTAATTATAAATTATTCTAATTTATTAATTGGTGGCATTAAATTAGGAGGAATTTGATCTTTTCTAGCGTAGGTGAGAGCGAGCTAGTTGGCGCTGTTTTTAGTTTTTGATTTCCTATTATGCTTAAACCAAATTTAAGTATAATAGGAAAGTTGAATATCTAGCTCTGACTAGTTGATCCGCTTGACTACGAAACACTTAAAACTTAATGTTGAATTCATAAAATTATTGTTACAAAATTGATCCAACAACAACAATTTACTCAGTATGCGAGGTAAGTTGATAAGAAAATATAGGTTAGTCAGAGGTTTGGTACAGGAAAATTAAATTACTGCAGAGCCAAGTTCATTCAGTATTGAGAAATATTTTCTTCTGAATTCATTCTAGTGATTGGAATATTAGTTACATAGTTAAAAGCAATTACGTAATATCAGTAGTAAATAAAAATTGAAACCGGTATCGTTTTACCTTAACTAGGTTAGGAAGACTTTTAACTTGAAGAATGTAAATTTTTCCCCCTTTTACGTTTTTCACAAGAAATTTCAAAATTTAAAAAAATTCCTTTGGAAGTTCATAATTAGCAAGCAATTAGTAGATATTAAATCTAACAGCCTAAGTATAAAATGTAAATTGTTTTAGCATTCAAAATTAGGTTTTATGCAAAAGTAGAGAATAAAATGTCATAGATAGAAATAGCATAAGTGGGTGTACAAGTTTAACCCTATGAGTCCCTTTTATATATTTTTTTCAGACGATCTTATTTGAAGCAAAAATATATTATGGTATTTTTTAACTATAAAAAACAGTATAATAGTTACTAAATAAAATCTGTTAGATTATCGGAATTATATTTGTACTAAAATAAAAAATCCAAAAAAGTAGTTTGGAAAAAAAAATTACATTCCTATTCAAAAATTTATCAATTATTGGTTTTGTAAATTAAAGACATTTGAATGATGAATATTTGTTTCTCTTATATTTAAATAACTGCAAATAAGTGCACATTTTGAAGGAAAAAGATTGTTTGGAAGTCAGCCGTGTTTGGAAGATTTTTCCTTTAACACAGAAAAAAAAAAAAAAAAAAAAAACCGATGTTTCATTCTGTGTTTTATAACCAAAAATTATTAAAATGCTAAATATAAAATTTTTCCATTTANCAAAAAAAGTAGTTTGGAAAAAAAAATTACATTCCTATTCAAAAATTTATCAATTATTGGTTTTGTAAATTAAAGACATTTGAATGATGAATATTTGTTTCTCTTATATTTAAATAACTGCAAATAAGTGCACATTTTGAAGGAAAAAAATTGTTTGGAAGTGAGCCGTGTTTGGGAGATTTTTCCTTTAACACAGAAAAAAAAAAAAAAAGAAAACACCGATGTTTCATTCTGTGTTTTATAACCAAAAATTATTAAAATGCTAAATATAATATTTTTCCATTTATTTTGACCTAAATTAATACAAAAAAAAAAAGAATGGCAAATATTTTTAATAAAAATTCTGCGTCGGAGGGTTAAAGATCTTGTAAATGAAACTTGTACTAAAAATTGTTTTATCAAACGTTGTGTTTTTGCATTTGATTATTTCATTATGTTATGTGCTTGTTACAATAATTCAAAAATACATGGAGACATAGGCGTAGCGTCGGGGAGGGGGCAGGCAAAGGGGTTCCCCATAATTTTTGAAAAGTTCAGAATTTTCTGAAAGTTATTACTTTTTTTTTAAAAGCGATAAAAAAAATTGTAGATAGTCTTTATACATTTGAACGAAAATATTTTATGATTATCACTTTTATGTAAAGGCTATCTTAAAAACCATTTATATATATAATATATATATGTATAGTATATATTTATACCTTTTTAAAAAAAAAAGCTTTGTGCCCCCTCAAAATTTTCCTTCATGGTACGCCTCACCTATACCTAGAGATAAAACTTTCTGCTCAAAGATAAAAGAAACGTTGCAACTATTCGAAGAAAAAGTAAAATTGAAGAGAAGAAAACAAGCAAGAAAGAAAGAAATAATAGGACTCAATTTGTCTTTGTTTATGCGTTCATAAATTTCAGTCAGATGTATAAGATGCTTCTAAAATCCCGCTGTGAAAACTACGCTCGCTTAAAGAATTTTACTTTCACTTTTCTAGAAAGAAAATTTGCTTCGGCTATCTGTGTCTTAACATTTTCAACAAAGCGAAAAATGTATAGACAAAATTAAAATGTCGTCAATATTTTAATACTTTAGAGTGTATCTATTTAGTTTGTTATAATTTTTTATTATAATCAAGCTCCCGTCCCCCTAAAAAACATCTAACTTGTATTTAATGCTGACAATAAATAATGCTGAAATAGACGTTGATTATATAAAAGAAAAAATAGTATTTCTCCTTAAAATATTCTGAGAATAATTTCATCGAAAGTTTCTTTACGTAAATCAACAAACAACATATCTGAAGCATAATATACAAAATATCAACTATGTCAGCGATAAACAATAAGGTATAAACAATAAAACCATTAAGAACGAAGTCATACTTAGCATAGTGGTTATCCCTTTCATCGATCACGCGCTAGCACAAACGAAATGGCGGCGATCGAACAAATCAACTAGGTAAATTAGATTTCCATAATGAGCGAAAATACTGAAACGTGACGGTGTATACCTTGAGAGAAATATTCAAAACAGGAACAAATAAACAACTTCCTCGGATCAAAGCGATTTAAATCCGTGTCATTTAGAAAAGCAATCCGTACCAAGGTTACCTTGCTGACCTTAGCATGGTTCGTGGAACTTTCACTACTTTGGCGGCAATTATGCCTGTCTGATGGTTCGTAAACATGCATGAAAATAATTAAATTCATGTAGAGGTGGGAAGAAAAAAGTGAGATTAGTTATTTTAATCTGAAAAGAACTGTCCTTATGCGTCAAAATTCTATTTTTAAATCACAAAGTTTTGTTTTCAAAAACAAAGGATTTGAAAACTGGTTTGAAAAAATTCATTATTCAGAAACTCAGTGGTACTTCGTTAAAAGTTTAATATTCAAGAAACAGCGGGATTTAAAGGCTATATCCACAAGAGAAACCAGAATTTGAAGAAAATAAAATTTTGAAGAGAAAGGTCAATTTTTATTAATAATTCGTGACTTCAGTTTTCTTTACAATCCCTAGAGAAAAATTTGAAATTTCAAGGAGATCATAATAAACTTGGCTATTTTGCTTTACGATTTAAATACACTAATACTAGAACCGCTTTACAAATAGTTTAGCGTTCAAATGTTTTTACCAGAAATGACGAATTAATGAAATTCTTTTTTAATACAATACTTTTGAAGTTATAAATGCACCAAGCTAGGACCTAAAGGCTTCTTTACCTCCACAAAATTTATTTCAACACGGTGTAAGATTTAAAGAATAAAAAAATCCGAATTTTCAGCGATATCAAACGAAATCCAAAATTACAACAATTGGGCAGTGACAATTTACGATATAATATTACGATAAATAACGGACATTGCAGAAGGTCACGAATTCGAAGTTAGAGTTCGTAGCATAGAGAAGGACAAAACGATATTTTATGTATAAATATATATGTAATGGTTAATGTGATAAATCTGGCTATCATTAATAATAATCGGCGATTGTAAATAATAACAATAACAAATACGTAGAAAATTATTCTATAAATTCGATAAATTATTCCCTTTAACCGCTTTACTTGTTTATTATTAATATTAACCGGCGATTAATGATAACCAAATCATTATATTAACCGTAACATATATATTATATCGTAAAGGATGAAATTTGGATTTGACAACTGTAACAGTTTATTATTTGACAGTGACTTAAAATTTTGCCATTTTTTTCTTCTTTTGTTGGCAACTCTAACAGCTTATTATTTGACAACGGCTAAAAATTCTGTCATTTTTTTCTTCTTTTGTTGAAAAGTTGCATATCTCCATAAGCTCTAGATAAAAAAAATTTAAAAAAAATAAATTTGATTGAAAAGAGAACGAGTTCTTACGTTGAATTAATTACAGCAACGCAAACCACGCGAAATATCAAGTATATTTCACTCTAATGTTAGATGGATTTAGTGTTGGTTAAACAATGAATCCCAAAATACACTCCAAAGCATATTCACCAAGAAAAGTTAATGGCGAGTGTTAGGTGCTCTATTTATGCCAGTATGATTTTATAAAACCTGGCTCGAAGGTCATAATAGAAATATACTGCAACTAGATGAAATGGCTATAGTGATTCAAAATTTATCATTGTTTATAATCACTAGTCTCAGAGCCGTTTTTAAGGATAGGGCCCCGGGAAAGTGAAAAGTCTTAATAGCATTAATAATTTTCTTTATCTTATCTAATATGTCAAAAAAAAAAAAAGGTTAGCAAGTGAGAGTGAATATTAAAAGAAAAAATTGGTTCAGCCATACCTCTCATGGGTCATGGCATTTTGCAAATTATGGAATAATACGTTCTTGTAGAACAAAAACAGGTGAGAAGAACAGAAAGAACTGCTCGCGCTATACTGTTTTGGGAAAGGGGAGTTTTGAATGCCAGTCAACAACAATGGAACAATATGTTTTATGTTTATTATTCCTTGAATTTTTTTTTACCATGATCCTTCCAGTTTTATGTTGCTTAATTCGAGTGAGAATAAAACGTAACACCTATGTCAGTTTTATTCCGATTTCGCCTAACAAGTTCCGATTGTGAGTATAAATTTATTACGCATATTTCTTGAATATTGTTGAAATGACGAACTCAAATGGCATAAATGTGATCGATTGATTTAAAAGTTATACTAAAGTAAGTTTTCCTTTAGAGAATAGTAATTTTAAATAGGATTTTTTTTTCTTAAACTGGTGTCTACTTTTTAATGTTTTTTATTTTATTTTCTTTCTTATTTAGTTCGGCAAAAACTATTATGTCAGGCAAAATCTTAAAAAGTGTTTTTAGTATAAATTTTAATACATTTGTTGTAAATTATGTATAAAAAAATAACAATTATCAATCACGAAATTAGTGATCTTCTTGAGATTTGTAAAACACTAACAGTACCTTTACACCAGTGTATGTTTCCAAGGCTCATAAGTTCGCCACTCTTAAAGTTTCGTTAAGTTTTTATGGCCGCCTTTTAGCAACTACTATCAATGCATTTAGCAATGAAAGTTGCTTAAACGATTGGTAACATTCTGATGTGTGCATTTCAGAACATGAAAAGATGTTTGGGGACAAGCATACTACAATGATTTACTTGTCAAGAAAAAGAATGCTAAATAGATAGAGTTTCTACAAATCAGATGAACAGTCAAATCAATTATTGAAAAGAAGTATTCAGAAGAATTGTAGAAGTAATAAAGTTCTTAGCCTCTCGAAGTCATGCAATCCGTTGAGACTATCAAACAATTGGATCGCAGCATAATGGAAATTATTTCGGGACTTCGGAATTATTGAGAAAACTTTACTCTTTTTCTTGCTGGACTTATAAAAAATTATGGGAATAAGGGCAATGGATATACATCCTATTTATCAGCTTCGATTTATAATGAATCGATTGTGGGATATAAAGTATAGAACAAAACAATTGCTGAACTGAAGGAAGCAAAATGTTTTTCAGTAAGTATTGATTCAACACCAGATATTTCCCACGTAGAATAACGACGGAATACCCGTGGAACGTTTTTTGGATTTTATTTTAATTGAAAGACATAAATCTATCTACTTGTCTGATACTATTGCATCTTTTCCTAATTACCAAGTCATAAATATAAGTGATTTTATTTTATACATGGTATCCGCTCACCTGGAAAGTCATGAATTTCTGTATTGAACAAAATTTGTCATGATTATAACTATATTTATAAGAAAATCATGGATTTAGGTCGCTGAACAATCTAATTTTTAAAATGGAATTTAAAAATACCCTCCCCCCATTTCATGGTGTTCCGAATATCTGAATTTGTAATAAAATTCCTACTCACAGTCATATTTTATAAAAATATAAAATGTTTTTATCATGTTCTTTAAAAGCTATGGTGTTCTTTCAAAATATGAAAGAAAAAACATCATTTCCAGAGCGAATTATCTTTTAAACTTCTGCGATTTCAGAATTCTTGCTATTATTTATTTCAGCAATTTAAAATTCTAGCTGAAGCAAGCCAATCATTGGCGAATTTTTTTAAATTCCGAAATGAGAACAGAAAAATCAGGAGTATTTCTTTCCTTTCGGATGAACAAGAAAAGTATCTTTAGAATATAATTCTGCAGAAAAAAATTATGCATTTTTTTCAGCTATTTTATTGCAACTCTTTCTTTATTCTGTTTTTTTTTTTTAAATTTAAAATCTTTAATTATGACGATGCAGGGTATATCAGTTTTGGTTATACCTATCATTTCAATGAATGTTATTATAATGCTTTTTTAAATTTCTTGCTGCATTTTTGTCGGAGAAAATAGAAACTTTGTTAAGTCACGAAAAATTCTAGGAATTAGTCATGAATTTGAAAATCTAAAATGTAGCATGTACCCTATTTATATTATAACCGTCGTTGAATTGGGATTCTTGGTTTAATAAATTCAGTTTAATAGATTTTGATCCACCACTATTTCTAAATAATTCGTATGTTTATATAATTCACTACCTTAAAGTACATTGTTATGCTATACCTTTTAAAAAGCAAGCAATAATAGTCAAATATTTGCAAAATTTACTTTCTAGTTATTTACCGTTTTTTTTATTATTTTGGCTTGTCCGGAGCAGTTGGCATCTCTGTACCTACACTAAACTTATTTTAGTTTTTTAAATTTATTGTTACTTAAATTTATTCTGCAACAGCAGTACCGTCTTTATGCATGGGCACAGTGTCCAGGGACCCTACAAACTTGGAGAGGGGGGCTTCAGAATCTTAACGTTTTATAAATTGTTTTTAAAAAAAACTAGCGATCAACAACACTGTCTTATATATTTTTTAAAATACATCCTTTTGTATAAAGCATGCAATTTGTTTTTCTTTTTAAAATAGTGATTGATAATCATGCAAACACCAATAATTTGAATAGTTTATCAGCCGGAAAACTTAAAAAAGCAACAGACATCTATTTTTCTGCAATCCAATGAAGTTTTTAGGTACTTAATTCTCACTTACAGTTCAATTTGCACCTACAAGATTCATACACACCTGTAAAATAAATTAATCTGAGAAAGTTTTNCAAAACAAAATTGATTTTCGAGATAAAGTTCAAAGACTTACATCACTCATAATTCTAAATGCTCCAGCTCAATTTGAAGGGGAGGATATAGCTACCATACTACAGCAGAACAGCTACTCATCGAACGACGACAACGTTATAAAGTATCTTAAATCCATTCCACACAAAAAATGCACGGACAAAAAACACATCGTAGTAAATGTATCGCATAGACTAGCTACCCATCTTCTGAAAATGAAAAATATCTTCATTGGTCTTAACAAGTGTATCATCAAGAAACGCATAGTTCTCAGACGGTGCCAGTGGTGTCAAGGCCTGGATCACCATACGAACCAGTGCACGGCTGATTCTGCAACCTGTGCAAAATGCGGCGGAAATCATCACACCCATGAATGCAATTGCGATGAGTGCTATTGCATTAACTGTTGGCACTCGAACACGTACAAAGGTACCAACTACAACCCTGGTCATTCAGCCTTCGTCTCAGACTGTCCGACATACCAACAAATACTACATTCGCTAAGAATGAAATTCATCGACAGCTAGATACATTTACATTATAAATGTTTTCCTACAAAATTTTGATCTTTATGAAACCTTAAAAAACTTTAGGAAAAAAAAAAAAAACTTTTTTTCATAACTTTTTTGACTTTTGAAAAACTTTTAAATTTTCTTTTCTCTTTTTTTATTATTCTTCAAAATTTGACACAACGAAAATTTTAAAAAAGAAAAAATACGTTTCTTCTTGTCAACAACTACATATGCTGTTTTTCATATCTATTTGCTGTTCACCTATATGTACTGGTGTACTCACTATTGTTCTTGCTTCATTTGTTGTTTCATTTTTTTATTTACTTTTTATTAACTAATGTGATACACATTATTGCCATCTGCATAACGCAATTGTGTTTTGTATTTATGGTGTAGTTGTGAATTTTGAAGTTGTTTGCTTATGTGCTGTGTATTCTGCGAGCTAGACTGTCGGCCAGACGTGGACTATACGGTTAAGGGTTTTGCAAACCTAGGTACGTGTCCACGTCTGGAAGAAAAGAAAAAAAAGCCCTGTCCCAGAGGTATGATTTGTAATGAGAACATGGCGGACTTAACGTGCATCAGTCACCATTTACTACACGGGGAGTACACAACACAAGATAAATTTTTTTCCTTAAAATTACTCATAAAGACAGACCCAGGGGTCCTAAAAACGGCTCTGACCAGACTGCCACTTCTTTCTAAATTTTTAACAAGAAAATAATTCTACTCCAAAAATGTTGTAAAACTGACCTTCCCAGAATTCACTGACGCTCGTCCGCCAGGGTTGTGTTGTATCACGCTTGCCAGAACAAACGACCTCATACTTACTTTAAATTGATTATAAGACACAAATGGGGATATTACCGTATCATGATCTGTCGCGCCAATTAGATTTTAAATTTACAAATTTTATTATTTTAGAAAAAGAAAAAAATATTTCGCCTGGAAGTTTCAACGACCTAGCGGTTATTTTACCGCAGATCACGACATCGGAAATCGTTCCAAACATATCTATAATTTACAAGAAATAAAAAACTCATGTGACAATGAATAGGTAAAAAAGAAAAATAGAGCATTGCGGATCAGATGTAAAACTCGTCACAGTTAGGTATCCTTTTGCATTAAGTTAAGAGTACGCTAATTTTAGTCGCTTTCGAATAATACGAACGGAAGACTTTTTTATTTTCCAAGAATTCCAATGAAACTCTTGAGTAAAACCCTTTAAACTTTCCCGAACTCGTTCGAGACTGCCTACGACTAAAAGGGGTTTTAGCTCTATAAATAAAAATACGAAAACAGATTTTGCACTATAGGTTTATCACGGACTTTTAGTTAAAATTAAATTAGCTCAAAGCTGATTTTTTTAATAAAATCGCACTAAAGAATTAAAAAGTTCGGAAATAATATCATAAAAAACTATTCTACTAGTGCTCTCAGTTCCCTTTTAGATATGGTTGTAAGAGGGTATTTTATGCACACAAGAACAATTTTTGTCATAAATTATTTTTAGAACAAATAAAAATATTTTTCGATGTTACTTGGACAATTTTCTTCTATGTAAAAACATTTTCCTGCAGTTTGAATGAGCAATATTTTACGATATGGCTAAATGGAATAACTTTTCTATATTTCTGGCATATAAAGAAAAACAAATATTTTTCTTTATTTTGACCGTATATTCTCAATCTTAACTCTTGAGCCGTGGCGGTTAAGAGAATGGAGCGTTCGCTTTTCAATGAGGCGAACCAGGTTCGAAACCCAGCGATGGCTGGTCGATAGAAATCCCACACCAGGTCGACGAAAAACATCCTCAATGGCAAACGAATCAGGAATTATATTACCGTTCAGTCACAAATGCGTCAGGCTAACCATGGGAGGTTTTCCTCTCCATGTAACGCAAATGCGGTTCATTAAAAAGTTCTTCATGAAGACAAATTTCTCCTAATACTTGATAAAGAAGTTCCCTTGTATTCTGGATTGGGTTCAAAATTACAAGGTTACGGAGTTGTACAATAGTAGTCATAAAACCAAAATTGGGTCTACTGTTCAATGACATTTATAAAATAAAAATCTTAACTATTAGTGTTAATAAAATAAACCTGTGTGGGTCACCACTGGACTGGCCAAGTTGATTTCCTCCTCACAAAGGAAAAATTCCTGCTGGTCATTTCAAAAGGATGTCCTTTCTGAGGACCACTTATCTTAACAGTTTACAACTGAATTCAATATAAATTGTAGTAAATGACAATAATATACTGCAACATTCAAGTATCCTTTATCACGATTTTAATCTTAAATAAAAATATCTGCTTATAATGACAAGCTCTCTATAACAATTCCACCTGCTATTATGAATTGTTGCTTGAACAGACTATCTTGTTCTTAAAAAATATTATACACTTTAATTTGTTATTTATTTAACAGTAAGATGGAGGCAGACATAACATTGACAGTCAGTTTTAAAAAATCAATTAAAGAAAAAAGGAATGAGTTAGAAATCTATGGTTTGCTGTGTTCTGTTAAGAAAATTAGATTTTTTTTATGTCCTCAAGTTTCAAAATTATTCGCAAAATTTGTCAATAAATTCAATTCCACCAAGATTGCAATTTTTAGCTTTATTTTAAAACTAGAAAATTGTGGCCATCAGACTAAATGTTATGGATTATCTGGAAATCAAAAAATAGCCTAACCTGTCATATTTTATTTCAAAACAAAACCTATGAAAACTAACCAGCCATAAAACTTTTTCCATAAAAAGAATGTAATTTTCTCACTAAAATATAACATTCTTCAAATCATTTTTTTTAATACAGAAATTGGCTGCACATTGTGCATGATTTGTATAATGGTTTTAATCTAAACAAAATTTCAAGAAATATTACGGTAATTTTTTTTAAACAAAAAAATATGAATAATAGATTTATAATTAAAGAAAAAAAACTCCTTAGTGTGAATATTGAAAGAACATTTTATCAATCTGTACAAATAGTCTACATGCTGTACCTTGTTCACATAAATTAAGATAAAACTCACTTGAAAATGCAGCAATAAAATTGTATTTACTATTACCTTTCGTGCTCAGTTGCTGTCGATAATAGAAATTGATTTTATTAAAAATTAGCACTTTTAATATAATACCTTCATTTATTAAAATTTTAAGAGAAAATAATTCCCAGCAGTAAAGCAATGAAAAAAAATCACAAATTAATTATTTATTATTTATACTGATAACAATATCAAAATGCAGCAACAAAAATTAGTGAAAGTATTACAAACGTGACGTTTTATTTCAACCAATGACTTTAATAAAGGTTAATCCAATTCAAAAGAAACTATTTAAATATTTATGAAACATGTATAATTTCATTTTCTTTTATATGCATTAACCATCTTGATATCTTTTAATTTTAGAAGCTTGAATTTTAACAGGTAACCTGGAACAGATGTGTAGCAAAATGCATCCCTAGCAATCATAGGTTGAACCATTCGTTTTCTCGAATTGTTGTGTTTAACTTTCATTCATTTACAACTATTTTCAAAATTAATTCAATCAACAAATTAATTAAAATGTAAGAAGAGGAATTTAAATGATATTAGTAGAGCATTTTAAAAAGTGAGATATATAACCAAACACAATAACAGTAACTTTGAATTCTGTTAAGCGTAAATTGGTTAACCTTAAATAAAATCATACAATAACCATACAATGTAGAGACTAGTAAAATTATATAAAGTACACAAATATATGAAATCAAGCATGTTATTTATAATATATATACATATAAATAAATATAATATAAGCTTGATTTAGGACTACAATATCAAAATTAGTTTTGGGGCTGTAAATTGAAATAATCATAATCTTTTAAGAAAATGATCATAATAGTTTAAAAAAATAAAATAAAGCTTCTAAAAAATCATGTAACAAATAAAATAACTAAATTTTTTAAATACATTTGTTCTAACTTCTTATTTACATTTTGCTACAGTTCATCAGCTATATCATAACACCACAAAAATTAATTAAAATATTAATTATGGCACTTTAATAATAAATGTGCATTTTTGATATTTAAAACTATGTTAAATATTATGATAGGCAATAGAGCATAATGAATTTATATAAAAGGTTAATTTTGAATAAAACAATATAAGTAACTTTTATTATGTCAAACAACCCTCTATTATGTAATAGCATGAAATGCAATAAAGAAAAAAAGTCAACTTAAATATTTTACTTTTCTTAAAAAAGAAAATTATAACATTAACACATTCTTTTTCTGATTCTACATAGAAATTTTTTTTAAAACCAATATGGAGCAGAATTTAAATGTTAGCATTTTAAATTAATAGATTGAAAAAGTATCTTAAGCAATCACAGTAAAGTAAATTGCCTATTTCAATTTGATATGCTATTTTTAAAAGTAAAAATACAATAACCAATTTAAATTTTATGTCTCATTAAAAGATAATTATTCTAACCAAAACATAAAAACAAAAACCAAATTAGATGAAGTAATCACATTAAAATAGCAATTCGTCAGTTTTGAAGCCTATGCACCATGAAGTACAAAAAGTAATTTGAGAACCATGAGTTTAACCAGATTTTACGAGGGGGAATATTTCTTTTAACTAATACTTTTCATAGAACTTTAGCAAACAGCAAAATGTAAAATGAATAATAATAAGCGATCAAATATGAAATTATACATTTAATAACAATCGAAAACGGCAAATATAAAACAACTTTAAGCTTCACTATTTGCAAGAGCGATTTTTTTTTACAGAACAATGAAATCTATAACTAATTAGAACTATAGAAAATAAAAGAATTTAAAAAATGAATTAAGTTTCAAGTCAAATTTATGCACTGAAGGGTTAAACTAAAGATCAATAATATTTTACCTCCATGATTTTTGTATACATTAAACTCAATAACTTTGAGGATGAAAAAGATGTTAATTTTCTTCAAATTAAAATTACATTTTGGAAAAAAAGTAAATTTTAAATATTATTTAGATGATGTTCCCATAAAAATATCGATAAAGTTAATTCATATTTCTTTGAATGCCAATGTAGCTATCCCTCCTTAAAAATTAAATTTGAAGCTACTGTAACTTCATTACTACTGCGTCCTACAAATTTTTTAGTTCTTTATCATTTAACTCAAAAATGTACAGTTATTCCTCTAGCTTCTTCTTAAATAAACATATATTCATTAAATCTTTTTCTCAGAAAATTAAATATTTTAAAATAGATGCTAACCATATAATACCATTTATTACTTTCACATTCATATACTGCTTTCTAAACCATACATTACTTTAACTTTCAATAAGCGTTGAAGGCCACGTTCACCATAATATGTTGGTGTTTAAAATGAGCTAAGTTTTAACTTTTAACAAATTATTTAACCTTAATTAATCTTACTCACTGCATTTGGAATGATTGTTGAGGAATAGCTAAATAATAGATTTCTTTATGTAATAAGGGGTGACTTTATTTTACTTGACATGAAGTATTGACTGCCTTTAGAATTTTTCAAGCTTTTTTTTACTTAGTACTGTCTTTAGTACTATATATGAAAAATTAAGCGCAGAATATTTTATCAAAATTACTTTTAAGACACATTTTCAATGGTGAATTCGTTGTCATTTAACAATCTTGAAATTATGTAATTAAATAAAATTAAAAAAATATACAAGTAAATTTATTAATTTTATGACTAAACTACAGATTTTTAAAACCAAATGCTGCATTATCCCTAAGTTTAAAATATCATTATTTAAAATACAAGTCTTACTATGAACTAATTTAAAAAGGTTATTTTTAAACAATTGATATATAAATTTATAAACGAAATAATGAGATTCTAAAAAGATTTATTATACATTTTTTTCCCCTTTTTATTTTCAATATGTATTAAATACAGTCAACGGAATGCTTTATATTACAAAATTTATATCTTTGAATTAGCTGCTATACATGCAAATTTTTAAACTTTTCAGAAATCAAAAATATGTGCATTTTGTGAAATATTTAAATATGACAGAAACCATTTTTACTAGAACTAAATAATATGATATTACTATGCAGGCAAAAGTTCTTTAATATTCACTTTCTTCAACTTCTCCACTTCAGCAGCCACAGAATGTGATTCAATGGCTATGTCTTCAACACGAATATTTGGATTATAGTGGGGATCAAGAAGAGGATCTGAATCAGCATTTGCTCGTCCCCATTTCAAAAACAATATGCAGAGAGTACAGAGAGCGATGAGACCAAGAACTATAATAATCATCCACCTCTTGTAAATAATGCTGGGATCTCTTTTTCTGTGTTTACCAGTGTGTGATTGAGATCTGCAAGGTAATAAAAAATTTTAATCTAGTTCTTCATAATGCTAAAGCAGCGTGCTTAGCGAAATTATTCAACAAAAAATAAGCATTTTTCAAGCACTCAAAAAAATATCTTTAAGCACTTTAAAAAAATATCATAACTAGGCAAGGTTGGAAAGTTTTTGACAATTGACGGTTTTAATTTTTTTTTTTTTTAACCTACATGTCGAAAAAAATAAACTTTTTGGCATTGTTTTTGACTATTGCCAAAAATCATGAAATTTTGAATCATGTAAAACGAATGGCGTTTTCATACACTATGGACTGACAATACGCCAAAGTGGATTTATTGGGTTTGAATTAATTGTGAAAACGTTGAATAGAACAATGTGAACTGTGTCTTTTTGCACAATTCGTAGCAAAAATCAACAAGGTAAAGGAAAAATCTCATTTTGAAAAAAGGAAAATTAAGCACTTTTACAAAACACCCAATAAAAAAGCACCTTTAAGGGCTTTTAAAATAAGAAAATAAGCACTTTTTAAAAACGCTACGCACCCTGTAAAGGGCCTTTTCCAGACAATAAAGGGATACTGCTTCTTCTATTTTAACTTACATAGAATTATCGGTCCATAATGTCTTTAATTATTCACTAATTATTATTTTGGAATACTTTTTTTTTATTCATTGAAATATCTTTTAATGCACTCAGTTACCAACTTTTATATTTCAAAGTTGTAATTTTAAAATTTTTTTAAAATTTAAAGTAATTTAAATCTTAAATGCTTATGATCTTAAAACTTTAAATTTGGTAAATAAGTTCAATAGAACGCAATTCAATGAATAGAATGAAACAAAAATAAGTCAAAAACATTAATTAGTCGCTGAATAAATAAGGATATTATAATCATATTTTCTCCATAGGTTAACATGGTGGAATGAAAATCACTTTTGTGTCTGAAGGTGACCCTTAAAAATTGGCAATCTACTTAATATACTTGGAAATTAAGATACCATAAAATCATATAATTAATAAAATTTTCTAATTTTTTTACATGCTAAGATAAAATGTGTTATTTGAGCACTTTAAAGCACATAGTTTTAGTGATCAACTTATAGAAGGAGTTTGAGACATTTTTTTATCATCATCTTTTATATCACCGTATTCATATNTCGATAAGAGGGGATAGAATTCACCTTGAAAGAAAAACAAAACTTCCGCAATCGCGGAAAAATTAGGTAATTTTGAGTTTGGCCGTCGATTGCAGTAAAATTCGGGAGTTTTTTTAATCAATTCCGGAGGGCGGGAGAATAACTCAAAATTCGGGAGACTCCCGCAAAATGCGGGAGAGTTGGCACGTCTGTATCACCAATCAAAATAAATATAAATCTTTAAACATGATTTTGAAATTTTAGTTTGAGAAAAGATCCTATAATAGTATAGTACACTTAAGAAATTATATTAATTACTAAAATAATTACAATTTGTTGTATAAATTAATATCAAAACCGATTAGTTTCATTGAAAAAAAAAACTAATATGCATATTTTGAAAGTAAGCATGTCAGTTTTTATTATAAATTACTTCTTAAAATATCAAAGCAAAAGAACTTATTTGCAGAAAGTAAACTTAATATTATATTTATTTCAGCATTTTAAAATTTGTTATTTTCTTACAACTGTACAAACCATACAGTCAACTTACTTAGGAGTTTTGTTAGCTTTCAAAACTAATTCATGAATTCACTGAAATTTTAATAACATAATAAATTGAAAATTGTCTGATTAAGGATTTTACTGGCCAAGATTTCATATAGTATTCAATTACACCCACATACAAATTAGGCTTATTTTAGTTATCAATATACAAGATCAACAGGTCGTCAGGTTACGTGGGGTTCGTTCCTTCTCACCTTATGAGAAAAATTCAGTTTTTGGCAATATAGGTCAACTGACCAAAGTGGTCAAGTATTATAATATTTGAAGAATTTATATTGGATTATGTATGGCAAGGTTGAATGCTGCAGTGGATTCAGGTTTTTTGGGTTTTCAAAGATAATTTAATCAAAATTCTTTTCTTTTCTTTTTTTGTGCAAGGAAACTAAGAGCTGAAAAAAATGGAACTTACACCCAAGGGGTTAAGGAAAAGGTGAGTTAGTTACGTAACATATCGATAATTTCCAAATCGTATTGTAATTGTTAAAGACCTTATACAGTTGTAGTAAAGTAATAATTATAAAGCTTGAAAATTTTTATAAAAATTACTATTAATACCTGTAGTTTTTTTCTCAGTAAAGATGCAAGTTAAATATACCATTAAAATATAATTTTAATATGCTGTTATCATGTATAAGATCAGTTAGATGTCAATTGAAAGAACTTATTAATCAATATGATGTATCAACTTTAATATATTCATATCTTCATGCTGTGTAAAATGATTATCATACAATAATTTTCAAACTTTATTTTTATGTTTTTTTCTATTAGTAATTCAATTTATTTTTTTAAGATCTTATATTGCATGTAGAATTGGATATAGCTCTATCATAATTTACCCCCTTCAAATAAAATTTCTGGCCACAGCAGTACACTGGTAAGATTCAAAGGGATCAAGTATTGGGCTGAGTGCTGCTGTTATTATTAAGATGAAAGTTGACAACCATGCATTTTCTTTCTACATTGATATACCACCTGGTATACCTAGATTATAAGTTTATAAGCATATAAGTTTATAAAAATAAAGGTATGTCTTTATAAAAAATGCTTATTCAATATTTTGCAATGGCATTGAGCCTGAAATTAGTAATTCAATCTTTACAAACATCATATACATCTTAAATAAAAAAAAACATTGGAATTTAAATACTAGCATACTTGAACCATCTATTTAATCGTTCAAATAGGGATCGCCTTTTATACTTGTCTTCATCATGATCAGTTTGTGGTGGCCTGTAGTGTCCATGTTCAGTTGAATCATACACTTTTCTAGCATTTGTGTAGCCTAAAAAGAGTTTTTTTTTTTAAAGTACATAAATATATAATCGAAGAAACATAGAAATAAAGTCTTATTACTCAAAGAAACAGTCATTTTAAGAGAGTAATTTAACATAAATCGAACATTAAAGCAAAGCTAAAATATAAGAAATAACTAATTTAATAACAAGTAGCATATTCTTAGTCATTATGAAAATTTGTAGTTTATAAACATTTAAGGAAGCAAATTTGTTTTTTTTAAAAAAAAAAGGTATTTAAAAAACAATTTTAAAATTACTTGAAAAATCAATTAAAACACCCCTGAAAAAAAGAGAAACTTATAAAAATTAAACCAGTTGAGAATAATCTAACAAAATAAATATTTATAATAGCAATCAGAATTAAACCTATAAACACAGATAATTTTACCACTGCATATTTATAATTTTAACAGTGTTATTATGGGGTGATGGTTTACTTTTACAAAAAGGGTAAAGAGGGTGCATCAAAGTGCAGGCTGTCCTTCTAAACACTTCGGAAGAACACTGCTATATATATATTGTATTTTTTGCAAAGTAAATGTAATATTCAAATTTAATTCATTCATGAGATTCCTTTGATAATATTACAAATTATACATAATTAAAAAAAATAAGACTATAAAAATATTATTCAAAAAATTAAGATTATATTACCAGTATAAGCTGCTCCATAAGGTTCAGGTCGAACACTGTCAATGCTTGGATGGTTAGCAGAATTAGATATATTAATAGGAGCTGGCTTTTTTGGACTTTCTAAAGGAAGGTCATTTGGAGTTCTTAGAGATGAAAACTGCATACTATTGGAATGAGGATTTTCATCTAAGAGGCTACTTTCTAACTGAAAATTTAAACACATATTAGATTTTGAGTGTTTTTAAAGCATTTAATGGCTTTAAATAACTGATAATGCAGGTTAGAATGAAACACTGAGAAAAAATTTACTGACTTTTTCAGAATAATTTTATCAAATTTTTCTACTTAAAAAAAAAAAAAAAAAAAAAAAAAAAAAAAACTGGTGGCATAAATTACATCTTTCAGTTCCTGTAAATAAATATTACATATCATTTAAACTTGCAATTTTAAATATAAATAAACAATTTTTAGTAAAAAAAAAAAAATGTATACTACTACGCATGATCAATTCTTTTCAGAAAAAATTATGGCTTTTAGGTACATTAAATTCAAATTAACTTATTTTTCTGACTTTTTGTGCAGCTTAATGAAATTTCCTGATAGAAAAAATTGAAAAAATTCCTTGATTTCTTTCTGCTCTACAGTAATTTTATTATAGCAAAAAGTTAAAACTAAAAAATTATAAATATATATTTTAAAAATATAAATAAGAAAATTTTTAAAATAAAAAAAATAAAATTTATTTTACAAGTAAAAGTTTAGAAAGTATGCAATTTTTAGATGATAAATAAAATAAAAAAAATTTTAAGCAGAAGATACCACTTTTTTAAGCTTTTTTATAATGACTATCATTTAAAGATTTCTGTGGAAAAAAATTATAAATAATTAACAAAACAGAATAAGAATAATATTATCATGCATCATAAGTAATTTAAAACAAGCTACAGAAAATGTAAAAGAGAGATGCACACTGCACATCCATTTTTGGGAAAGAGACAATGAAAAAAAATGTTTGGCTTTTAGACTCTTGTTTTCAATGTTTCACACGTAAAATAAGATATAAAAAATATGAAAGAATTATAACAGATTCCACACTGCATAACCTTTTATTTTAAATGCTTCACACTTAAAACAAGATACAGTAAATGAACTAAAACTGAGATGTACACTGCACACCCTTTTTAAGGAACAGGGGAAAAGAAGAAGAAAAAATGTTTATTTTTCAGAGGTTACTATGAATTAATTTCTTATATCAATTGATAATATCTAAACTATTCCTTTGGTATAGTAAGAGCATGCATAATATCTCTTAAAAATTAAAAGACAAAGTAAATGGATAATATACTCAAATTAAAACAAGAATTATTTGCATACTTGGTCTTTTTAAATAAACTATTTTGTTAAAATCAAAACAAATGATGTAAGTTCTGTTAAAATTTTTATTAATAGTTAATTTAATTATTTTTTGTTGTTTATATACAGGGTATCTGTGCACCTGGAAAGTCATGAAAAATCATGAATTTCGGTATTGAACAAAATTTGTCATGATATGTCCTGATTATAACTATTTTTTTTTAGGTCACCGAAAAATCTAATTTTTAAAATTGAATTACCCCCCTCTCTCCAATTTCATAGTGTTCCGAATAATTAAATTTGTAACAAAATCTCCACTCACTGTCATTTTTGATTAAAATATAAAAAGTTTTTACCGTATTCTTTAAAAATTATGGTGTTCTTTCAAAAAATGAAAGAAAAACATCGTTGTCTGTGATTTCAGAATTTTTGTTTATTATTTTATCAATTTAAAATTTTAACTGAAGCAAACCAGTCATTGGCGAATTTTTTTATTACGAAATGAGAACAGAAATATCAGGAGTCTTTCTTTCCTTTCAGATGAACAAGAAAAGTATCTTTAGAATGTAATCCTGCAGAGAAAAAGAAAAGAAAAAATTATTTGCTTTCGTATTTTTTTCAGTTTTTGTATTTTATTGCTTCAACTCTTTCTTTACTCCGTTTTCTAAATTGAAAATCTATAAATATGAAGATGTTTGATAACATTATACCTATCATTTCAATGAATGTTATTATAATACTTTTTTAAATTTATTGTTGTGCTTTTGTAGGAGAAAATAGTATCTTCGTTAAGTCATGAAAAATTCTTGGAATTAGTCATGGAAAGTCATGAATTTGAAAATCTAAAATGTAGCATATATATATATATGTATATTATATATTGTATATATATTATATATTGTATATATATTACTCTTACATCTATATATATTACTCTTACATCTTTCTAAATATACTTGAACTAAATTTGTTTCGAAAGCATTAAAAGGAAACAAAATGCCAAAAGATTTGAATTTTTGGCACCTACAATTAGTGTCTCTGCACTTTGAATATTTCCATATTTTTTCTAAATTTACTGAAATTAGCTTAATAAATAGTAAAGAGTCTTAATTTTATAATTTTCTAAATAAAATTTTTGGTGAAAGGCAGGAACACACACGTTAACTGGAGCATGTTGCGCATTTATGCATTTTGCAATTTGAATATTTCGAATTTCGATGTTTTTATAAAGTTTATTGAAATCATACGTAGTTTAATAAACAGTAAAACCTCTTATTTTAATTTTCTACTTTTCTAAAATTAATTTTTTGGTGAAAGGCACAGACACACACATTCAAAAATAGCAGGTTGTGCACCCGTACACTAAGATAAAAATATAGAAAATTAGGCCACAAACTTACTGCAGGATATCCTAAGCCTGCTCTGGCCCAATTAACTCCCATGAGTACATTGCGTAATGCATCTGCCACTGGTGACACTGCATTTGGTTGAGGAAAGATCGACACATTGCATATAGGGCAGACATATTCTTCAGGACGAGTTTGTGGTGATAAGCTAACAGCATATTTATTCAAACAATCCCAATGAAAGACATCTGAAGTATAAAACAAATAAATTTCGCTTTAGTAAGAAAACCATAAATTTTTCATTTGATTAATTTCCAATCATATAATCTAGTAATTCTAATAAATTTTCATTTTCAATATTTCTTTGAGAGCAAATAAAATTATTTGATTCGCAAAGGATAACCATTCATTCTCTTAACCATTAAAGGTGTTATATTCTGTTATAATATAACAACTTCAATGGTAAAGAGAATCGGAGAAAATTTACGCGAGTTTATTAGTTCATTTCTAAGAACAAAAAAAAAATTATAATTAACCCTTTGCAGTTGAATGGTAGGTTTCATTTACTAACTCATATTAAATATTAACATAATACAAGCAAATAGGACGTTAACTGGTAAAGAAAATTCTTGTGATTTTTATTCCAAATTCAATGATCTTCAAGGATTTTTGATCAAGGTAATTAAGATACAATTTCTCAAATGAAACCAAAATAGTGAAAAAGGAAAGAGTTTTAAAATGGTAACAAACTCAACCACTAAGAGAAATTTTTTTGTTAGTTTAAGATTCTCATCAAATGTAGACATGCTGGTTAAACTGACACAGTGGTAGCCCAAAATTTGTATAACTTTAAGCTGACCATTTTCTAGTAAAAAAAAGGGGGGATTTTCTTATACTGTTCTTAATGAAAAAGCATAAAAATTTCTGAATAGTTAATTCATTTCTGTATTAACACAAACTATTTAAAACAAGGATAATCGAGAGTTAATATTTACATTGCAAAAATAGAAAATTTAGTATTACACAAGAGGGGCTTCTGTTGGTTTAATTTATATTACAAGAAAATGAACAGCAATAAAAATTTAAATGTTAAACTAAAAAAATAAACATTTAAGATATTAATTCGAAAGAGACTTGCTTTAGAACACTGCATTTTGAAATCTGTAAAAAAATATCCTTATTTAAAATATCACTATCAAGCTACCAGATAAAAATAACCATTTATTTCTAGTTCTGGTGAAAAAAAAGTTAGCTACAGAATGTCACTGAAACATGTGTACTGTTTAGATTCTTATATTGTACTATAAGTCACTGTGAAGCAGGGTTGCAAAAAACCCACCTGTCCAATAAAACCTGCCCGGATTTTACTGTGTAAAACCCACTCTGAAAAACCCAGTAAAACCCACCCTAAAGTGGGTTTTACCGGGTTTTTTTAAGATTGATTTCTTTTTTTATCCTTTGTTATATTAAAGAGCTATTCTATTGAAATATATATGTAGTTTAGCCTAAAAAATTAACCTATAGTGAAGAAACTAATTGTGTTGGAGACTGGAGAGTCAATTTGCTGGCTAGATTTGACTGTACGGCCACTGATCAGTCAGTGCCATTGATTCGCTTTCTATGCAAATAAAAAATTTTCCTAAAATATTTTTTATGATTAAAATATAAATTAAAAGAAATGCTGTGTTAAAATAAGTTTCAAATGTGTGATGTATGTGAGTACATATAACATTTTGCATCGTGATATCGGAAGAAACTTTTTTCAGACTTTCACATCAACTTATTTGTATTAATTAACTATATGAAGTCAATTTATAAAACTAAACTTAATTATTAATATTAAAATAAGCTTTTTTAAAATAAGGTACTTATACCTGCCCTCTCTTTTGAAAACCCCCCATAAAAACATGAAAAACCCACCCGGGTTGGGTTTTTCTACAAAAACCCGGGTTTTTTGCAACCCTGCTGTGAAGGTTTAGTGCCAAATATTCAAACACAAGGACTATGACATTATAGAAACAGGGTGATCCGACCAGTCTACTGATAATGATGAAAGCTGTGTGCATGAACTTGTAAAAGAAAATTGGCGTTTAACAACTCGAAAGCTAGCTAAGGTATTAGGCGTTAGTGCCATGTCCATTAGTCGCACTATGCATTATATATACTTAAAGAAGATCAATCTGTGGATGCTGCATGAGCTAACTGAAGGTCAAATGGGATAAGGCCGGAAAACTTGTCCGTAGCATTACAAAGAAAGAGCTATTTGATTAACAATCTTATTCTGTATCTGGTGGGATTGCTGTGGTATAAACACAAAGAGCACTTTGTCAATAAGGTAAAGAGCTCAATACTAGTGCGTGTTGAAACAGGTAAAAATTTGAACTGAGTTCCAGTGCAAAACAGCACTGTTCCATTAAAATAATGCAATACCATATGTGCTTGCATTCACCAGCTGGACTTTGTATGACTTGAATCTTTTACCATGCCCATCATATAGCTGCGACATGGATCCTTTGAACTTCAACCTTTTATACCTTCAGTTACATCTTATTATTGGCGCTATCTTCAATTCAGTACAGAATGTCAGAAATGAGGTTGATCTATTTTTGGACTTGCGTCCACCAAGTTTCTGTGACAAAGACTTAGAAAAATTACGAACACATTGTCAGAAAATCAACTTTTGTTACAAGATATCTGATTTAAAGTTTACTGCTCATTTCTCAACATCTTTTTCTCAGTTATCAAAACTGTTTGGCATAACTGAAATTCGTTAATTAGAGGACTAAAAATATTTTCATAACACTGTTTGATTAAAAATACAAATACTCACGATAACAGGTTAATCTGATGCAAAAATACAAATACTCATGATAACAGGTTAATTTGGTGCAAAAATACAAATACTCACGATAACAGGTTAATCTGATGCAATCACCCTCAGCTAATTCTGTCTTGCAGATGCTACAATTCGGATTGTAGTCACTATCTTGTAACCATTGCAAATAGGACTGGACAACACACTGAAATAAATATTAATTACATATAATAAATAAATTTATGAAAAAGACATGTTTTATATTAGCTACTTATACATTGAGTGAAAAATATTTTAAAGCATCGATTCTTTTTTTTCTTTTTTAAATTTTTTTTAACGAATTCCAGTGACATTTTAATGCGAGTACAACAAATTTATATCGTTAGAATACCAAAATAAATTTTAAAAAAATCTAAGAGTCAAATAAAAATTGTTTCCTGTAATATTTTCATGTCGTAGCTTAAAACATTTTATAAAAATCTTTTTACAAAAAAGGTATTTACATATATTCTCCGTTAACAACTGATAATGACAGATGCCTCCTTGTCTCTTGTATTTGTTATGAACCCTGTGGCAGAATTTCTACGAGCTTTCTGCGACATACCTCTCTAACATCTTTTAGCAAGATACTTAAAAATAACAAATATACATGCTACTATTTTAAAGTAACACAGAAGCGTTAACTTCAATAAATAAATTGGATCAAATTAAATAATTTTTTTAATTGAATATATAATATTTTTTTATTTTAATATTAAGGGCAATATTCTCACATTTTGTAGCGAGCGAGATAGCACACTAATTATTTCCTTTTTTGCATTTTGTAATTCATCACATTAAAAAAATTAAAAAATCATGAAATTTGCAGCAGTAACTACCGAAAAAAGAGATTGACGGCGGAATCATACGATTCGGACTTTTCAAAACGGTTAACTAAATGCGTGTTTTCATTTCGGTATTTAGTTGTTGTAATAAATAATATCGTATTAAAAATATTGGCTTTTAAAAGCTATGTGGAAATCAGTAGTAATAACTGCATGAAAAAAAAATAGAACAAAAATTTCTACAGAAAATAAAACCAAGTTTTTTACTTCATTATTCTTTATTTTCAAATGAGAATTAAAAAAAAGCAGAAGCCTTTTCTTCCACTACGATGTGCAAGAAAGGCATCTCTTGAATATAATTCTGAAGAAAAGATAAAATCTTTCAAAAATTTCTGCAGAAAAAAAAAAGCAAAATATTTTACTTCTCAAACAAAAAATCTTTCTGCAAGAAGTATGTAACGTTCTGCGACATTGTCGCCACGGGGGTTATGAATTTAAATAGATGTATACAATGTTTAAGAATTTAACATATTGTAAATAGATACTGTAATAGAGATTGTACCATACGTAAAATAATTTAAGAGCTTTCGTGGCAAAAAATAGAACAACATTGATTTTTAATTAGATTCAATAATGGTGATGTGGCAAATACTTTGATAAACTAATCACTTATCAAGCAATCTTATTGAAGTCCAGAAATACATATAAACTCTTTTTAAGACTTAACCTTCTCTCTCATTGACTAAACACTCATAATGTAAAAATGTATTTCCAGGGAATTTGGCTTGACCTTTTGATCTAGATAAAATTAGATCTTACTCTCCCATTTCTGTATTTTTGAAATATCTAACAGTGTTCTCCCTAAGCATTTTTAGAGGGGCTTTTCCTCCCGTAAGCCTTTGGTCTTAAAAATCACCCTGTTTGCCCTTTTCGATAAAAAGAAGCTGCCACCCCTTAAAAACACTGCCTTTTATTTTATTTTTTCAAGAAAAGGTTTTCTTAACCATTTATTTTAATAAATATTTCCCTTCTGATTTATTTAGTAACTAATAATTATCTCAGGGTTGGCAAGGTGTAGGACAGAATGGATTATTCCATGGTTTAAACCGTCCTGTCCAAAACCTTTTTACTCAAATTATGTCACAATTTTATCTGAACAATTTTTAAAAGGTAAAATGAACATAGAACTAGTAACATATTGATAATTAAATCTACAAGAGAATATTTGTTTTTAAAAGCATAATAATAATGTTTTATTAATATTGTTTGACTCAATTTAAACATTAAACAAAGGAAGATTAATCAGTAATCAAGTACAATTGGTCCTCTCATTCAATAGTACATAACTGAAGTTTGACCTTACCATATAGGTTAAGCTATTAGGGACTAAGTGCTCGGTTTGTCATAAATAGGTTTATTTATCTATAGTACTATTCAAGAATACTTTTATTTCATTCATGTTCAATTCTTTTAGCATAGTGGTGATACATCACCAGTGTGTCAGTAACTGAAATTGGTGTTATGCCCTTTAAAACTGTTAATACATTTTTTAGTTATTTTGTATTTCCAATTGAAACTAATATATTTATATTTAAAAAAATTTTTTTTTTAAAATAGATATCTTTTTTGTCATCCTGTGATGCAGAAATTATAACATTTAAAAAAAAATATTATTGTTCTTTAATATTGCATTATTTATCCTTATGCAAAAACAATATTTATCAGTATTAAAATCATATTTATATTTAAAGGATTAGGTAATCACTTTTGTTGTTCAATGAATTGTGGAGCTTCAAACATTATAAACCTTTTCCTATTATCAGTGTTTTCACTACAGCGCGAGAACGCGAGACTCTCGCATATTTTTTTCTTTTCTCGCATTAAAAAAATGATTACCGCGAGAAATTCGCGCATTCTATAAATCAATTTCAAAATTCGTGAATTTCTCGCATTTTGGAAAAAGCTTCGAATTACGCCAATTAGAATAAAATCAATTTCACTTTTCTTCCTGGATCTTTCATTATTTTCAACATTTGCCCCGTTATCTAGATTCCCTATTTACCAGTATTGTTCAGAACTTTTTCGAACAACAGAACACAACCCTTCCGAACCACGGAGTCCCTTTTAGAACACATTTCTCTACAACCACGTGTTTACCGCAGGTAAGGTTTTTTCATGTAGGACGTTCAAATTTTTTATGCACTAATGTAAGATGGACAAATACCTAGTAAAGGCAAAATCTTCTATGATGATGCAGCAAGAATATTCAATGCTTTAAAAAATAGAAGACGTTAAAAATGTATTATAATGAAAGAAATTTTTTTTTTCAAGTCTATTTGTATTTTTTCAGTTTTTAGAAATCTCACTTAATTTTCTGAAATCTCACCTTGTTTTTGAGAAAGGGTGAGAAATTCTCACCCATTTTTTTTCTATGATGAAAACACTGTATTATATTATATTATTTTCCTTTAATAAGTTAAAGCATATTGCACAAAAAATATCAAATATTTATCGATACATGTAATAATTGTGTGTACTATGGTTACACCTATAGAATTTTTACCTTTTACCAAAGTTCAAGGTTTTGGACACTTTAATACAATTTTAGACAGTTTAGGACAGTAATACCCATGTGTCCTGTCCAAAATCAGTTTAGGACGTCCAAAACCCCAACTTTGAATTATCTAACTTTAATTTTCAATTTCATTCCTTAATTTTAGCCTACAGTTAAAATTTGCATGATATTCGGCCTCAGAGATATTCACACCATTTGAGGCATATTGAGTTTAACCATTATTTATTTATCTTTAATAAATACCTTTTATTTAAAAATGCACTTTCAAATGTTTATTTTCTCATAATTTTCAGTTTAAAATACAAAAAAACTTTGACCTTGTTAAACAATAATTTTTCTTTTTTTTTTTTAGTTTACTTTTTGAAGAAAATTTATACACTGAGATTTTCTTTTACTTTAACTTGAATTCCTTTTCAGAAGTTTCAAATTTCTCTGTTATTTTGATACTGAATGAGAATTATTTTGTGAAACATACTAAGGAAACACTATAAGTGGGTAATTTAAAAATTATGGATCAAATTCATTGTTAGTACATAATATTACACATTTTGATAAGTTTAAACAGTGGTGAGTGCTCTTTCAAACCTCAAAGTACCCTTTTCAGTGAGGAAGCACCCTGCCCTTTTTTATTTTGAGAAAAATCTGTATCTAAATAGACATGAATGTTTGTTACTAGTTTTACCCATTCTGTGATTTCTATTTTAGTTTCGCATCTAAAATTAATATGAGTAAAAATATTTGATTAAGAAGAATAAATTGGACTGAGCAGGAAGTTGATAAAGCTAACATCATTTGAGAGGTTCATCAATCTATAAAAATAATTGTATTATTTACAAATGAGGTGAGTTTGAGACACAATATTAAATACAATTAGCTAAATTGATCAAATGGATTTAACAATTCAAATATTATCTGATTAACTTTCAAAACTTCAAGCGAAAAAATAAACAATTAGAAGACGAATCAATACCAAATATAATTAGCACCCAGTTTATCATAACTAATTGGTTAAATTATGAATAAATAAGCTCTAAATCATATTTTAGTAAAGTATAACAGTAATCAATACATTGTTTTAAGATGTAAATTCAAATATAAACTAATATCTACAATACTGATAACAATACTTTAACAACAAATGTTATTGAGGTGCGGTCGATGAATATAGAAAAAGTAGACACAATTTACACTCTTAATTTTGTACATAAATAGCTTCCGATCACAATAATCATGTATACCTTAGAATGATTGGTAACCATACAGTGTTCACAAACATTAACTCTGTGTTCGAAGCAAAACTGATTTGTCACTTTCTTTTTAGGACATTTACACAACCCCATTGTTAAAGAATCCTTATAAAAAAATTCGAAACGTATCCTATAGAAAAAATGTTAGTATTTCAATCCGTGCTAAATGATATAGGATTTAAGGACATAACTTCCCTTTGATTAATCTTTTATTTAATCATACAACTTCGAAAACACGTCAGTTATATGATCAAAAATAATGACAACAAACTAAGTGTTGCCATAAAACAAAACATAATAATGTTAAACAAAGTTGGTTATCCAGTTCGACTTGGCAGTGTGCGGGTGGGTGACCACTTGGATCTGTCTGCGTAGGGACCGAGGGTGTGCGGTATTGGTCCTCATGAAACTGTGCTACCGTAAAGTGCTCGACTTCGCATACAGGTCGTTGGGCTACTGAAGCGGGGTGCCATCCCCTCTGGTGAGGATCAAAATTGTGATGGCATATCTTCGGATCATCCTCAGGGATGTTTCCCAAACCGTTGCCATTGTGCAGCTCTAGTGCGACGTAAATGAACAACAACAACCAACTCGATTTAAGGACACTCTTGTTATTAGTCACTATTCTCACTGTATGTAATTCGAATAAGCGATCACATGTCAATGCGTTTCACGCAGGCGTGAGCAATGCATCTTAAGCGCTCCCCTCTGCGGAGGATCAAAATTGCGATGGTATGTCTTCGGATCATCCTCAGGGATGTTTCCCAGACAGTCGCCAATAGCCCATTGTGCAGCTCTAGTGCGACGTAAAAGAACTACAACAGCAACATCTAAGCGCCACTCACATACAAAAAATCTCTGTCAGTGAGAATGGTCCCTTACATGCAGCTTCTAAACATTCGCACCTGCGTCTGGGACAACCATTGTGAACGCATTTATACTGCTGTAGAAATAATGAATATTCTCCCTCCACAAATGGCTCCAGTGATTTACCTTGATTTAAACCAGTTTATCACATGTGCAACAAATTGAACATGTATCTGAATAAGCTACGGCGTTTTCAAGCGAATAGCATAGAAAAGATTCCATTCGATGCACATTAAATGCTGATTTGCATGTTTAAATGCTACTGTTCGAAAAATCCACAGCAATGAATTACCAAGTATTGGTAGTTAACAAATCCGCAAATTCACACACGTTCCCCCTTCCCCAATGGTTTGTAAATAAAGTAAACGTTAGAATTAAATCAGGGCCGGATTTACGTATAAGCTAAATAAGCTGTAGCTTGGGACCCCGAGATGGCAAGGGCCCCCAGATCCCACTTTTTTTTTCCTTTTAAAACAAAGTTTTATTTGGAGCTGGGGCCCTCTGAAGTCCAAAATGCATTTTTTTTTCCTTTTTTACATTGTCGGGCTCTTTTCAAAATCTAATCGAAGTGTTTACAAATATAAAATANCATTTTGGAATGCTTGGCCTCCTTCGCTCATGCTTTATCATATCCTACCTTGTCACTTTTCACATTCTCTGCTCATAGAAAATAAGTGACCTTAATTGTGTGTTTATAAATACATAATATATTCAGCTTTTATTTGGGAGCTTATTCTGAGATTCTACTACACTAACTAATAAGATTAAATTTTATTTCTTAAAGGTAATAAATAAATTTAAAAAAAAACAACAACTTAATAACAGGAAAAATATTTATTTGTTTTAAAAAATGAGTCACAAGCAAAAATATCACATGTGCGTTATGCATCCACATAAATAAAATTATATAATTTATTACATTTGTCAAGTCATTTTAATAACATTAAATACATATTTTTACATATAAATACAAACAATAATGTGTTTTAAAATTATTACAAAATTGAATAATTTCTTTTATATAATTTTACATCTGCTTTATTAAACCAATAAACATCATTTCAAAACTATTTGTTAACGAAAATTGATTGAATACAAAATAAAATTATTTTTAAATAATTTAATTCAAAACATTCATTTCTTGTTTAATGTAAATTCTGGCAGATAATTTATTATTTGATATTACTTTTTAAGTGCCTTAATGTCCCTTACTATATTTTCATATAAAAATATGTTGTAACACAAAAATCAATAAAATAAATATTTATATTTCTAAACTTACTAACACAAATTCGTCCATGTGACAAAAAAATCGTCATTTCACAGTCAGTCACAAGTACACAAATGACAAAAATTAATTATTTGTATATTGCATTAAATAATTATCAAAAAATGACAACATTTGGTCAATGGTACAAATAATGCAGGATAGATATGTGTTTGCTATCAAAAGTTTCAAACACGTCACATATTTCAATTTGTTTGCAGTATCCAATAACGGTCATATACTTTCAAATAAAAACTGGCATAAAAGTTTACTAATGCTTGAAAGCTCCATTTTTTTCATTAGAACTTTAAAATGCTTCATAATATATGAGTTACTGACATAATAGCATTTTGGGAAAATAGAATTCATTATACTTCAAGTGATATCATAATCATAAAAACAATTTTTCATTTTTCAATTATCTTTTACAGGAGAAGTTCCAACTTTGTAAATACTAAACATTAGGAGTTAAGTTAGGTGAGATAAATTGTTGTTTATCAAATAAAAATAAATGAATTTAACTTAATTATTGTCATTAAAAGCTAATAAATTCCATCAAACTAGTTCGCGACTAAGTAGCTAAGACACAAAATCGGAAAAAAATAGTCCCAAAGAAATAGTTCAAGTTCATTGTAATGACTTGTTCTTTGCTTGAACTGACAACATCTGTTGCATTTCAGTAAATTTGAGTTGAAGTATTTGTACTTGCTACTTTTTGGTTTCTAAGTTCATCATATTGAACATCAATAAAAACATTGCCAACAAAAACATTCCTATAACTTTGCAACCACTAGAAACTAAAACAGTGGCACACAAAAATTTTAAAAAAAGTGATATGATAAATGATACTTCATAATTTTAATTTCCATTAATTTTCGCTGTTCTTGAGGTGTAAAAATCTTTTGATGGCACAGTTTACTTAAACAATAACATTTTTAGGCACCTGAACTTAAAATCAATATCTATAGACTAGAATAAAAAGTTATAGCTATATATATAAAGTAAAATTTAAAATAATTTACAGGTAGTCAAAACACTTAGAAAAATTCCCTGATTTTATCAAACTTTCCTGATTTTTGTAACCAGTGGCATAAATTTTATTATAAATATCTCAATTATGCCTTATTTCGATGCATTATTACAAAATATTTACCTTATACCTGCCAATTATAGTTGAAAATAAACCATTTTTTAAAAAAATATTATCACTATTAGTATTTCAATCTCAAATTAATTCACATCCCCTGTTATTTTAATTAAATTCCCTAACATTTTCCTGTTTCAATGTCATCCTGATTTATTAAATAACGAAGTTTAAAAACGTAACTGAAAATAGTGTTTTTTTTTTAATATATCAAATAATCAAGAGTGTTTTTTTTAATATATCAAATAAAAAAAATATATACAATTATTTTTTATAATATTCATTAATCTAGATAAAGTGTTGCCTTTATTGGTAAAATGAAACCATTTTTTTTTTTATGAAATTTATTTTTTAAATAATTAATGGATTACATATTACCCAGTGATGCCAACACCTCTGCTTTCTACAAAAGATTTTACTAAGGGGTAGAGAATTAGAAACAAAATTTATGTTAAATTTGACATTTTAAAGGACTCGCTATGAGATAAGTGAAACAAAGTGATGTTATATATGAAGTTTTGAATTATTTACATGCATTGGTAAGCAAAATAATTTCAAAACAAATTTACCAAATCAATAATCAAAGATTAAAATTTTATTACATGAAGAAATTTTATGGCAAAGCAAGTTGGCATTGCTGATATTACCTACAGTTTTAAGAAATTTTTATGGCTAGTTTAGAAAAAATAATAATTTATTTTTAATTTGATTATTTATATTTTCCTAACCTAGATATAACAGACATTGTATTTATATTTAAAATCAAATTCGCATGCAAAATATGAAATTCATAGTTCATTATCATATTATCACAGTACACTATTATCTAAAGATAATAAAATAAGTTATGCATGAAAAAAAAAAGCTTTAATGATGCATTAGCTAGTTAAACTAGAAACAAATGAAAATTTAGTTAGAATATTTATATTATGAAATAGCTCTATTTGCCAATAAAAAAATAAGCTAAGAACTTTTAAAAAAGGAATCAATTGTATTTTTCTGTACAAAAGGCCTTTTATTCCGAGAAGATGAAGATTTAGAGCTGCTTCCTCTCTTTTTCCTAGTTTTTTGCAAATTTACTTTATTTTTTACACTAGAGTCAGAATTCAAACTATTTACAACAGGTTTTGGTAATTTTTTTTCTTCTAAAAATTCTTTTGACAGATCTAATGCCATATGATAATCTAAATGTTCTTCCTCTTCCCAAACAGGAATTAATTTATTACATTTAGAACATAAATTTGTTAGTTCTGGATCCAAGTCTGCAGTAGTGTCTGCGAAAGAGACAGACGAAACAGATTTTTTTTCATCACAACTGGGACCACTAGCAGATTTACAAGGAACAATTTCTGAACCACCAGCACATGACAATTCAACACTAGAGGATATTTTGTTGTGAAAGGTAAAGGAATTTGTAGACTCGGTCGTAGTGTTAGGAAGTTGTTCATTAGAATTTTCATTTAAAATTTTTTGACGTTCTTCTAGTTTTCTTGCGAAGAATCCCTTCTTTTTACTTTCAGAGTCCCTACTTTCTTTTGATGGCGAAGTTGAGTTTGAATCAGCCTGATTATTCACAATATCAGAGTTTAGACTATCAGCTGCATTAGTAATATTAATATCAACTGAAGTTTCAGTTTTCGATGCATCTTCAATTTGATCATTAGAAACACTTTCAGTATTTTTATTAGGCAAAACATCTTTGGTGTCATCATTACATCTATTTAGATTAAAAAAGCTGGTTATTTCACCTGCTTTTTTACTTTTTTGTGTCTTATTTAACAAACCACTGAAGATACTTGGCTTTCGTGATGATTGTTCAACATGATCTTTATCTGCTTCAATGATATCAAGAAATGCATCGATATTTGAGGAATTAGCAGTTGAGTTCGCCTTTTCACCGGGTTTAGCAAAATAGTTCTGAATATCACAGGTGGCATTATCAATTTTGTCCTCGAATTTACTAGCAGCAATAGCCAAACTTAAAATACCAGGATTCCTGAAATACATAGTTTTAAATATTATAATAGTTAGAATAAAGCTCATTAAGCACATAAATAAATCAAACATAACAAAATTAACCCTTAAAGTTTATCAGCATTTGAATACGTATGTAACTTCTAAATCTATGGAGAAAAATGTAGTTGCATAATGATAATAATAAAATTAATTTTGAAAATCATGATAAAATTTAAAAAAAAAGATATTGTATCACCAATAATCTTGTTACTTTTTTAATTCAGCTTCAACAAATAAAATCATAAGCAAAATTTTTCTTTCAAGAAATGCTTATTATTTAGTAATTTTTTTTACTCTTTTAAAGTCCAACTAGAAAGTTACAAAACTCATTAGAAAATTACAAAACTCATAAGTTTAANAAAGGACGGGGTTTTTTTGCAAGTTCGTTTAAAATGTCTTCGACAGCTGGGGTAAATTTTCTATGAATGTTTAAGAGCGCCAATCCATTCATTCTATTATTACCCGTTGAATTGCTATGCTACAATCTCAAAGTTTCCAGCTGGAATGAATAACTTCAACGATCACAGTATCTCCAATGGTATTGTTACCGATTTCATCACTAGTCGAAATAGTGGCGACGACGGGTTGGGCTATTGAATTTGGCTTTTTGTTAAGACAAAGCAAAACAGATTAAGAGACGAGCTCCAAAAGACAAGCACCAGAGATAACTCTTAGTCTGACTAACTAACTCCACTGTACTCCGTTTCCCCTTTTATATAATTTTTCACCCCATGTCCAAAATTCTCGAATTATCTCAAAGACGACAAAACGTCTAGAATTCCAGAATCATCGCGTAAAGACCTCGCGAATTCCAGCCAGTCTCGAAAACTATTGCGACTGGCAGGACAGAAAGGAACCAGCGATCGGGGCTCGCCTGTAACAGTATCACGTGAATTTGATTTCAAAAGTACAACCCTATTATAGAAAATTATTTTTTCAGTATTCTGAGAAATACCGTGAGAGAGAAAAAAGTAGGCATAAGGCAAATAAAAATACTTAGTCTTAAAAAATAATAGCCTGCACTATTCTACTAAAATTTTTATTTTTGTCATTTTGTCTGAGCTCAAGGGGGTGTTTGAACCCCTAAACCCCTCCCTTGCGTACGTCCCTGTGCATAATAATAATAATAAAATTAATTCTGAAAATCATGATAAAATTTAAAAAAAAAAGATATTGTATCACCAATAATCTTGTTACTTTATTAATTCAGCTTCAACAAATAAAATCATAAGCAAAATTTTTCTTTCAAAGGAATGCTTATTATTTAGTAATTTTTTTTACTCTTTTAAAGTCTAACTAGAAAGTTACAAAACTCATTAGAAAATTACAAAACTCATAAGTTTAATACATTTCTTTAATAAATTTATTTTAACACTACTAAATAAGTTCAGGCATTTTAAATAAAATAATATTGAAGAAGCTTAAGTTTTATTTGATGTAAAGAAAAATATTGTCATTTACATACAAAAGTTAGCAATATTTACAGTTTGGAAAAATTAAATAATGTGCTCAATATAGAGTAATGTCGGAATATATTCATAAAATGTTTCATTTATGCTAAAAATTATAATTTTTTTACAAATGATTTAGAAATATTATATTTGAAGATTTTTTTTTTAATGTTTAGAGTAATATTGTGGATGATGCAAAGCATAAAAGTCTATACTTTTTTTATAGGTCAATATTTCAAACAAGAAAAAAAATTAAGAATATTTAATAATTATTTTCTAATAAATTAAAAAAAAAAACAAACAATAATTTGAAACTTGCATTTGAATTTTGCAGTATTGTTTTATGTACAGAGTTTGTAAATGTATTTTCTTTTTTTTTACTACCTACGTTACAAATTTAGTTGGTATGAAAACTTTAAGTTTTACAATCAATGCTTCAAGCATTTGAATGTTGCAATATTGTTTTAAGTAGAAAGTTCCTTAATTTAAAGTTTTTAAATTAATAATGCACATTATTTAATTTTTTCAATTATTAATTTAATATAGTAGAAAATTACCACCTACATCAATAATTTTTTACTACATGAAATTAATAATTTAGGTGGTAAAAAAACATAAAATACTTTATAGTCGCTATAATTGTAATTAAACTTACTGTAATTAATAGAAATAAATGTAAGATTTTTTCAATGTACATTGATATTTTTTTAATGTAATGATTAAACATATTAAATTTTTAATTCTAAGGAAAAAAGTATTATGTTCAACCATTACAACAATATGGAGGTCTTGATGCTAAACCACAGGAAACTAAACTATTATATGTTTAGGTAGTAATCAGTCTAGTTATTAAAACTAATGTTATACAACAAGAAATAAAGTAACTTTATTACAGGTACAATGTTTAGAAGAGACAAAAGAAAAAAAAAGATATTTAACATTCAAGCTTTTTAAATTATGAATTTTTAAACAGTAAAATTTTTTTTTGCTTGTGGCATTTAATAGCTTGAAATTATACATTTTTTAAAAAATGATTACGGCAAATATTGTAGGGTTCAAGGAATAAATTATGGTATTAAAATTTAAATATTGCATGAAGTTAAATACAACATATTCCTGCAAGTTTGTAACAGATAAAACTAAACTCAACTTAACATAATAAATTTTACTTCACGTTCATTTGGATGAAATCAACAAATCATTATCTCCTATATTTTTTCTCTAATGGCTGAATTTATTTTCTTACGTTTTGTCTGAATGAAAAAAGTTTTTGTCAATTAATAATATTTTACTAATAAGATAATATAGATTAAATACGAATAAAATCTAGGCTTTATAAACTTATTTTTATATCAATTAAACTAAAGTCATAATTATAAATACTAGTACATAAATTTAATTTAATAATTTGTTACAAAGCAAAAAATAAAGCATGTTTTTATACTAAAATTTGATGTGTATATTTGAACATAGAAAAATGAATCTTATCAAAATAAAATTGCTAGATACATTTTTAAGATTAAAATTCAAGGACAAATTATTATACTTACCATGAAGAATCTGTAGCATTATTAAACTTTTGCATAGCAGCAAAAGCATCATGTGTTAATTTTTCTGCATCATAAATATATATTGGGCAAGATTTAGAAACCACAGAGAATCCCGTTGATGCTTGGCTACGAATATTCACAGTCATTAAACGAGCTGCTCGCCGATTCTACAATAAAAAAATATATTATATTTAGCTAGTTGATGATATAAAAAACTAGTTTTTTTTTTGCAACTAAGAAATTCTGCATAATTGAATTATTGAAATTGAATATAGATAGAAAATCAGTATATAATTATTGAATGTAAAAAATATCAAAGAACAATAGTAGAGCACCTGCAATACAAAATAGTTTGCAATGTCTTTCATAACGGGGCTGTTATAAGACACAGACCTTTAGGAGCCTGCTTTAAATTTCTACAAATTTTAAAAAGTTATTTGTTTAATGGTAGTTAATTATTTAGATGTTAATTTTTTAATTGATTCAGTTGGGTACTTGCAACTAGAGAAGAAGTAAAGTAATTATGCCAAATCAAATAAAATTGAATTAAATCAGTTTTAATTAGATACCCGTAAACAACGTCATACATATATGCTGAGCTGATTGGTGACAGAATCGACAAATGCCACGATTTACTTATGATGCATGTATCCAATTCATAACTTACACGAGACGTCATTATTCTTTATTCAATAATGATTCTTTTATCAATATTTTAAACATTTCTTTCAGAAAATTAATGCAATAAAAGAGTTAAAATCTTAAAGAATAAAGAGAAAAAAAATACAATGCAAAATTTTTTCAAACTTGGGGACATTTTTACTGAATGTAGTTAGATTGTTTTACTTTAGAAATCTAACAAAATCTTACAAAATCCTAGAATATTTTTAAAGTTTCTCCATAATAGTTAGATACAACTAGAAATGGTAATTTTAGTATATAAAAAGCTCAAATGAGTAAAGCTTTATAGTTTTTGTCTAGTGTAGATGAATCCCAGATTTCATATTACATTAAGCTTCATAATATCTGGTCAAATAAAGAATGAAAAATGTTGAAATCGGTCATTTGTAAAACTTGCTCTGGGTGGTAAAAGTAAGTAGACAAAACAGAATTGCTTGAACTCCGCGGCAATGGCAAAAACTATTGACCTGGTAAAAGCACAGTTGGTGACTTTATTTCAATCATAAATTTATAAACGGTTAATATTTCACATCAATCATTTTTTTGCATAATTATTTTAATATGTGTAATACATAATGTTAATTACATCACAAAGTAGGTAGGAAGAGATAATTAGTCCTATTCAGTTATTGTTGTTATCCAGACATTAAACCAAATAGTCAGCAGTTTACTATATTTTCAAGTGCAACTCGTTGATGGGACAGTAATTATCAACATATTATTACTAAATTATTAAAAATAAAATAAATTTAAAACTTTACTTACATTTTCTTGGTCTTTCAATAATCTTTCTTCTAACTCAGAACAGAGTTGTTTTACCCAATGCATCACCTGATAGGAAAAAAAAAAAGAATTTAATTATTTAGAAGTTGAAGATAATAATAGCAAAGGCTATCATTATTGTGCACTTTATTAATTTTTGTACCTTTTCCCTTGTGTTCAACATTGATTTACCAGGAAAATTCTTCCCACAACCAATTGACTTAGGAAGCTGCCTAGCAACTACAGGCTCATTTTCAACACCTCTTGAAATATAATAAAGCCATGATCTACAAAAACATAAAAATCAAAAATATTTTTTTTTATTTCTTTAAAAAAAACTTCCTGAATCATAAATTATTTATTATAATTTTTGAATGAATTTTTATTATCAACTGTAGAGTTTAGTGTAAGGTTTTTCTGCTTTAAAAATGATAACTTATAACTTATAGCAACAACAGGAAGCTGTTATTGAAACAGACTTTTCCTTCAAAAAATATCTTAGTTAATGTCCCGGCAGCAAAAAATTAAGTACAGTAGGGAACCAATTATCCGGAATGATCGGGACCATCGCTATTCTGGATAACTGATTTTTCCGGTTTTCTGAATTGCTACAAAAAGCCGTTTTTTTTAAAACTTTTTTTATTGTTAAACCCAACTAAAAAAAAAAATAAATTTGGAAATAATCTTCAAGAGGAAAAAACGATGAAGTAATACACTAATGATTATTTCCAAAATGATGGTAAGGTAAACATCTTTAAAAAAAGAAAGAAAAATCCTAAAATCTTATGAGGAAAAAAACATTTTTTTAAAAAAAAATGGCAGGAAAATTTATTGAATTTTGTTCTGTTTTTTTGGTTTTCCGATTTCCGGATAACGGGTTCTGTACTGTATTATTCATACTAATATACACAAAGTTTGTTTTAAATATAAAATTGAGTGCTTTTTCTGAACCTAGATACCTTCATCTATTAAGTTCGAATGCTTTTATTTTGTGTTAAAGTTTTCTTTAAGTTTTTGTAAAATCGAAACAAGAGGCTCTGCATAAAAAATCCCCTTAGTCCTATCATCCAAGGACAGCTCATTTGCCCAAACTACTTTGAGCTGTATCTACTATATTCACATAATTTAATTATAAATTTCAAAATGTAATGATATTTTACCAAATCCATAAAATTGATAATAATTTTTAATAACCATAGAAATCTTTATTTGCATGTATGTTTCTTTCTCTCTCTATATATATACAGATTTCATTCTTGCAATTCAATATCTTTCTGCAGATTATTGCTATACAGCTTGCAAATTAATATTTAAAAAAAATAATCTTGGAATGTAAAATGCTGGAATATCTCTACTTATTTGAAACTTAAGGAGTTGTATGAAATATAGAATGAAACTAAAAAGAGAAATTTGATAGCAACTGAGCACAAAAAACAAATTTGTCCCAATTAGAATCATAACACTGAAATATTTTGCAGTAGTTGAAAGCTTATACAAAGAATTTTGAAAGATTTTTATTACAAATTTTTGTGAAAATTACAAAAATATTATATGTGCACACAAGTAGAATGATAATGAAGGTAAATAATAGACAGCAGTACAGCAAGGTATAATAAAACGGTTATTTTACTATTGCATTGGAAAACATATAAATTTACTTTGTTATTAAACCAACAGTTGATACATGCAACAGCTTCCATTAACAACCACAATAATAAAGTTCACTTTTAAAAAAATATATCTATCATAAATAGATCATAATAATGATCTATCAGAGAAATAAATTTTAGGTTAAGTTAGGGAATAAATCAGTCATAAATTAGCTAGGGAAAGAAATAGAATATAAAATTATACTTCACATAAAATAATTCACTACTTTAAGCTTTATTCAATTTTGACATCAAACTTTGTTTGCATATAATATAAAATAAACATGTAAAACAAAGAAAAAATTCATTACCCACTCTTTTCTCCAAAAGCATTCACAAATTCTGCTTTTGATATTTTCATCAATTGGGACATCATTTTAACATCAAACTTTTTCATAACTTGATCACCAAACTTTCCTCCAAGGTTTCGTCTGCAATTTAATTTTATTAAATTAAATGCTTGAATCGACTATAATAGTATGTAACATCAGTCTGATAAAAATATAAGGTCAATGCACAAAATAAAAAAACACCTGAATAACTTTCGGTTTAATGATTGAATTCTTGTATACAATCTTAATTGTTTGAAGGGCTGACCAGAAACATGTAAAATTTATGTATTCATTATGGTGATAAATTAAGTTACAAGACAAGACTATGGCAATTGTGATCAGCAAAAGAAGAGTTTAGACAGTTATAGAATAAATCTAAAGTCTATTAAAATGCATCAGAGTTGACAAAGTGAAGTGCAAGAACCCTTTATAACAAATCCAGCTCACTTTGAATTAAAAACGCCGATCATTTAACATCCAACTTGTGAAATGATTGGCACTTTCATATAATATCGACAACAGTGCACCGAATTGAATTGCGGTGAATGACTATATTGTGACGACAATGCTTTTTGGGTAATGGCAAAGGAGCAATTAGCATGCCAAAGGAAAGAAAAAAAATTTTCTTACAGAAAATTGAAAACTTAACAACTTTTACAAATACCTAATTAAAAATAAGCAGCTTTAGGCATTTTTTAAAAACACTACACACATTTGTCATTATAATACATTTTTTTTAAAAAGTAAATGTATGTAGTTTTAATTCACAGCATATTAAATATAAAATATGTTGTGAATATTAAAATGTAGTCCCTTATATACTTTTAAGTATTACTTTTATAAATAAGTTTAAGTACATAAACTTTACACAACACTTCATTGCTAGCAAAATTAGAAGGTGTTAAAAACCAAATTATGTAAGTGAAACATTTAAATTCATAAATTCCTTAAAAAATTCTATTGAAATTTTGAATATATTTTGCTTTGAAACCAAGAGTAGTTAAATGCATTAGAAAACTGATTGAAGCTGAGAGTATAAATAAGACTTTAGTATCCATTATTTCACAGTAGAAGATTTATAAAATAAAATTTTATAAATCACATTATTTTTGCGAATATATGAATATATTTCGCTTTGAAAATGCATTAGAAAACTGATTGAAGCTGAGAGTATAAATAAGACTTTAGTATCCATTATTTCACAGTAGAAGATTTATAAAATAAAATTTTATAAATCACATTATTTTTGCGAACGTAAACAATGAAAACAATTTCTGAAACTGAGTTAGAATTATAAACTGTTTAAAGGCTACAAGAAAAATTATTCGTTTAAAGGTTACAGTTTTTGAAGCAAACCGAAATTGACACATTACTTTTGCTGTTAATTCTGATGCTCCTAATGAGTTTAGCTTTCTTTTTTTGTAAATAAAAAATAAGGTGCATGTTTTCGCGTTTTACAGTAATTTGCACCTAAAAACTATTTTAAAATATTTAAATATTGTTCTGACCTAGATATATTTAGTGAAGTTTACTGATTTGTGAAAAGATAACACAAAGCATCAAGTTTCAAGGGTTGCATTACAAGGATTTTCTACTGCATTACATTCAATTTAGACACATATTTACATGCAGACATATACCTAACATATACTTTTAAATTAAAAGTTTTAATATTTACAAATACCATAGACATATGGTATAAACGCATTTTATTACATATACTTACACTTTGTTTATGGGAATAGAAGTATATAGCAAGGGAACTGATGACTCAGGTAAAACTGTTTGCTTGTTAGGTTTGTTAATGCCACAAGATAGCTTTGCAAGCATCTACACCAAGAAAAGCAATGCATTAATTTTATATTACATGATTTCATTTTAGGAAATTCATAATATAATACACTTGGAAAGTCAAGCTCGCAGCTATTGGCCTTATGAATTAAGTCAGAAAAAAGACTAGACATGTTTTTGTTTGACAAAAGAGTACCACTAGGGTGAAAGTCTGACTTAGCTCAGAATCTCAAGGATGAAAATTCAAAATATATCAGCAATATATAGTTAAATATAGGCAATATATTAAAATTTGATTACAGTAATTGAAGTTAGAAATTTTCGAAAACAAATTTCGAAGAAAGTTAGACAACGTGAACATAGCTTTAAAAATACTGCATGACATTTTAAATCATGTATCATTAAATTATTTGCTATCTTAATAGATTTTAAATAAGAATATGACAAATCGTCGTAAAAAAAACAAATACACCAATTAAACTATTATTAAATCTCTCTTATCTTTGTCTTTTTGCATCAGTCATAGCTTTTTATTTTCTTTCTTCTAAGAGATTTTAGAAACATTGCGTCTGACAACGAAACTAAAATTAATTAGTAAATAAAACAAATAAATAAAATAACAAAATAGTAATGCAATAATATTTGTTTAATATATTTATTGCTTTGGCAAAAAAAAAAAAAACGACTTTGATTTTTCAGTATGAAATATAAAAAAAATTCTATCACTTTATCAGTCAAATCAGCACTTTAATCAGTCAGATATGATCCATTCTGCTCCGTAAGAGTTAGAAATTTTTCTGATAAGTTTATAATCTTGCACTTTAAACTCACAAACTTTTGGTCCTGATCAGCAAAAAACTCAACAAAGTGAGATATGAGGTTATGGATATTTTTACCATGTAAAAATTTTTGTAAACTTTGAAATCAATGATAAGATGGTGCAAGGTTGGGCCTATATGGGGGTTGCCATATCACTTCCCAACCAAGCTTCAAGAATTTCGCATGTGTTGGTAAAAATGTGAGAGGCCGTACAATGTCGCAGTAGAACATGAATAGTTAGTGATTTCTTAATTATGCTTCTTTTTCTTTTTAATTTCACTGAATGCTTCCTCCAATTTCAGATTTTCAGATGAGGTTGACAGTTAACTTCTGGGCTTTTTGTTAGGTTCCTTTATAAGCAGTTCAAAATAAAAAACACATTTATAATCACATTAAATGACTGCAATATATTTTTCTGATACATTAAGCTTACTGTATGCTGGCTCATCATGCTTAAACCATGATATTTTTTTGATTTATAATATTATAGACAATCCATCTTTTAGTACGAGAAATAATTTGTTTAAATAATGGTTAATTGTATTCTATTTGAAATTTGTATCACAAATATTGATTCATTACGTTAGGTGAAAAATTTTTAATTTGAGTATAACCGGAATATCGAGTTTATTGGCCGTAGCAGCTTTTTTGTCTTTATGAAAATAGAAAATAAAATATGTTGAAAATGCTTATTTGGTGCACATTGTGTTAAAACTGATTGTAAACAAAAATTTGTTACTATAGCAATCTAAAGAAATTGACTATAAAATTTCAAAAGCAAAAAGTTTTTATGTAAAGAAAAGAATAAGGGGAAAAAAAAGCAATGATATCTACTGGAGAAAACTGTACTTTCTTGTCAACATAATAATTAATTACAGAATGGTTACCCTTTTATTTTTAAATCTATATGAAACATGTGAAATTGGAGTTGCAAGTAATAGAACATTTAAATGAAATGACCCACTAAAAATTTCTTATTGCCCTTTATGGGATCAAATTAAGATCAGAAGCGATATTGTTAAGAAAATTCGTGCCACTGAAAGAATAATGTATATTTCCAAATATGAGCTAAGAATTTATTTTTGAAAGCTTAAGCCCAGCTTAGCTTATGATTAGAACATTTAACTTCAAAAAATTTATAACTTAATATAAACAAATATGGAGTAAGCTCATTATTTAAATAAAGCTAAAAGTGAAAACATTTAGCGTTTTAGCAGTCTTTAGCTTAGATTCAAATTAAAAATACATATTATTTTATAAAACATATGAATTTTTTGATAAATATAAAATGTTAAGTTTACAATAAAAATTTATAAATAGTAAATGAATCAAATTTGTAAAACAAAACATATTCGTACAGCATATTTTTAGTTACCTTACTTTATTATGAGCAACTCCAGCTGAACATCTAAATCCAGTTTTTTCAAACACTGCTGCTCTCATTTCTTCTACAATCACAGCAGCCACAGCTAACATTCTATCATTATACAAATGCTCTTCTTGATAGATCGTATTAAGCCAATTTTGAACATCATCTAAAAATATTTTTTTATTTTAAGCAATAAGGTAGAAATCCCATGTTTTTATAACAAAATAATGATAACCCAAGAAAAATAACCAAATAATTTAAAAATAACCCAAGTTTTTACAACAAAATAATAATAAAAAAAAAGAAAAAAAAATGCCTATAAAGGATTTTTAACAAATATAAGAGAGAGGTAATACATAAGAGGTTTATGCTTAAGACTCATAGCATTTTTTTTTATCTTCTAAATGCACAAATGAAGGATAGGGTAAAATTTGTGCTATGTAGACTAAAGCAAAAAACAAATGACAGTAAAGCACATAAATGGAAACATAATAGTTTAAGTTCTATAAAAAAAAAGCCTTCTTCAGAGTCTAAAAGTGAAAATGATTCTTGAGTCAAAACGTCAAACAATTTTGACGTGTAGTCACTGAGGAAAGTTCTAGAACTCAAACTATAAGCATGTCCGTTTATCTATTTTTGTGAGTGGCAGCTATTGACAACGTCGACCATTAACTATCAAAAGGTACTTCCGGATAGAATCAAGCTAACATGTCTTATATACAAGTGAATGGAGATTGAATAGAGTAGTAGCTATGATACACTTTTATTTGGGCTTTATTCACATTTGTTTTTTGCTTTAGTCATTAGACCATTCTAATATTTCCATCCATTTGTCAAATTTTTTAGTGATTTTATCATAAAGGTTTATAGAGTTAATAAATTCTTAAAATTAAAATTAGTATGCCATTTCTGTTCTTCTCTGCTCTGCCCGTTGCTTATGTGCTTTGCACTGAAATATTTTAAGTCCTTTATAATTTTATCCCATTTATGTTAACCAAATCTTCACCTATAAAAAAAGTAGGCCTGTTCAAAACTTATAATATAGTAACTTATTACAAAATATAATAACTTATCATAATATAATAATTATATATAATTAATTTATAAAATTATAATATAAAATCAAATTAGTATACAATAACCCTAACAAATAGCAGATTTAACAATTGACAATAATTTAGCAACATAATAAAATATTTGATATTAAGTACTATAGTAGGCATTTTGATTTACTATCTAAAAGTTTTCTAAAGTTTATTTAAAATAAAATAAAAATTAACTGCAAAACTTAATACAATAAGGATCACAAATTCTTAAAATTAACATTTGCAAAAATAAATATTTTATAAGATTTTTAGAAGTCATATTCAAGAATCAAATAGTAGTGGAGGATCTAGCAGGCACAAATTGGACAAAAACATTTACAGAGGACAAACCTAACTCTGAGTTATTTGCAATTTAAACTCATTGAGTCAAATTTTAACTTCTTTTAGGAGAGGGTTACCATATAAAAAATCATGATGTTAAAACACACATTCTTATTGATTATTGGATTTTATAGTATAACTTAAGAAAACACACACGCAAATAAATAAATAAATCAAAAATTTGAAACAACTACATAAAATTCTTATTAGTACAATTACCCTTTTCCCACCCAACGACAAAAGTATTAGGTAATTGCTCCACTGTAACACAAACAGGATTTTGCATTCGAGAGTTAATAACTGATGTTAAATCAATGTAAGCTTCATCGATACTGGCTCTTTCAACACATTCGCTAAATTCACACAACACTTCAATAACAGAGGCTCCAGCTTCTCTATACCTAAAAGAAAAAGGATTATAAACCATTTACTTCTGTTATTTAAATTCAAAATATTAGCAATATATCATTTCCGTGAAAACCATTCAAGATAACTGGATTTTTTTGTAAGAATTAATTAATGTGCACATAAGTAAATTGTAGAAATTTTTAATAACCACATGTTCATAGTCTGCAAATAATAATAGGTCTAGTTAAAACACTAACAATTAAGCTAAACAAAAGCAACATCAGGAAAGATAATGCCTAATACACAACTTACATGGAAGTATACACGCACTTACAACGTATTTTGAAGCGGCTATCTATTTCATTAGAAAATTTCATATTTTACAATAATTTTCACGAAACATATATATTTAAATAACTTATTTAGCAGAAAAAACTTTCATGCTGCCTATCGCAACCATAAATTATTCAAATGCTAAATATAATATTTTTATTTTGAGTTATCTCACTATAAAATAACTAAAAAAGTATGAAAAATGTGTTATACAAAAATTTTGTGTCAAAGGGTTAATATCTCAGCGATCAGTTCTTTGATAACATAGCCTATGAGAATATTTGCATAGTATTTCACTATTAATATACAACATTACCTATGAATAACACAAAGATAATCTGCTTGTTATCAAGGTAAGTGGTTGGAATGACAGAAATTTCCAAGTCAAATGCTTATAGGGACCAGAAAACTAAGCATTTTCTGGTTAGTCAAAAAGACAAAAGATAACTCTTGTTAAAGTAAGAGTAAAAATGAATAATTATTAAAAATAATCCAGGGAATTCATAAAAATGTAGTATTTCTTTACTACTCGGATACACATTAATCACATTCAAGAAAAAAGTTCATCAAATTATCCACAATATACTCCCCGGGGCAGAATCACATCGACATTGTTGCAGAACGTTAGAGTTCTTGCAGATAGATTTTTCTTTTGAAAAGAAAAAAAAACTAGTTTTCTTTTCTACAGAAATTCACACGTACGATTTGAATCATGCATTTAGATAATAATTTATGGGCGTGCTCAATTTATGATGATAGTAACATAAATCGATGTAATGCTTCGATTGTATTTTTCACAGTTATTAATATTGATTCTCACGTGGTTTTTAAATATCCTGCAATATTTCAAACAATATGGAAAATTCCAATCTTGCATGAGTATTTACTTTTTAAGGCAATGATTCTATCAATTTTTTGGCTTATACCGCTATTGATTTCTCCATAGTTTTTAAATCCGATATTTTTTATACAATGTCATTATATATAATCTAATGAAATATGCTTTTGAGTACCGTTTTTTTGAAGAGTCTCATTTATGTGATTAGATCATCGATCTTTTTTTTAGCAATCACAACTACGTATTTCACGATTTTAATTTTTTTTATGCATTGTGAAGATTATTTACAAACTGTGAAGAAGGAAATAATTAGTGCATCAAACCCCCAACAAAATTCAAGAATATCACCCATAATATTAAAATCAAAAATTTATAAATGTTTAATTAAAAAAAAATACATATATGGTTTTCGTAAACACAGCATTTTGTTATTTTAAATTAGTAACATATATGTTTGTTACTATTAAAAGTATCTTGCAGAAAGCTATTAGTGCTGAAAAATTTTGTCGCAGACAGCTGAAAGAAATTCGGCAACAGGGAATATACTCAAATAATTACTTGATAAGTTTCTATAAAATATTACCTCGTTAAATCAGCTTTACCCCTCACTTCTGGGACTCTAAATAAATGGATGTCTGGACAAAGTCTCTTGGCTTCTTCCCCTCGGCCAGGACGTTTAACACCTAAAGCTCTAGCTTCATAATTCACAGCAATGATCCTTTAGGAATTAAATTAACTGTTTGAATTCAATAAAAATAATCAACATTAAGAACTTTACGTAGAGACATAATACAATGATTTTACAGATAGCACAGGGATTTACTTTATAAGAGGTTAAAATTGCTTAAGAGAACGATATAATAAATTATGCAATAAATCATAAGAGAAATTGTTTAAGTGTGTAGAATATAATCATATTATGTTAAAATATATTCAGTTTTCTAGAAGATCATGGTAACAAAGGAGTTGCATTATTGTGAAAACGTCGAATAGAACAATATGAACTGTGTCATTTTGCATAATTCGCAGCAAAAATCGACATGGTAAAGAGAAAAAATATCATTTTCCAAAAGCGAAAATTAAGCACTTAAAAAAAAAAGAAACAATGACTAAAGGCTTTTTAAAAACGCTACATACCCTGGTAACTAGGGAAGATATTTTTTCTAATTTTTGTAATTGGTTTAAAATTAATTTTTAATTTGCAGATTAGTGACTCTGCAATGGCTTTTTAGAAGCCAATGGTCCCGATGTACTACTGAACTAGCAATTCTTTATCTAAATACGCAATTAAAATTCATGTTCAATCTCATTTTTTTATATTTAATAATTTATCAATGTCTTGTTACATAACAATTTTATTTTTTCCATAAATTTATAAAAACATTTCATCAAAATTTGGCCTTGCTCATTCTGGATGAGGCATTTTCAGACCATCTCACGGACTTTTGAACTTTTCATTATTTTAGCATTAAACATTACTTGTAAAACGACATGCAAGTACTACATCAAACGTTAATGTGAACTGCGATAATCTTTAGCAAAGCATATGAAATTGGTTTTAATTTGTTAGAGACATACTAACATAAAATAATATTATACATACCCACCACCCTTATAATTATTGTATTGTACAACAGCAGCTGGCTTGTTTTTATATTCTGGGCACAGTTTTTGTTCTACCTGGACATAAAAGCAGTCCATATCAACTAGAGCAATAATTTTATCTTGCTTGGCATCCATTTTTATATTTCAAGATGGGGCAATATTAATCACACCTATAGAATAGAGTAAGTACATAATAAAAAGTGCATGGAGCAAAAATTAAAGATACAATCTTAAATCTATAGTAGTATAGTAATTTATAATGGCATAGTAAACAAAATCATGTTATCAACATTATGTTCGCAAGACAGTAAATTTCCCCATGCAGCTGATTAAATTTACAAATTGCTCTTTAATAATCATTCCTTTTTGAAAAACATGAAATATGCAAAGAAATATTAAATTTTAAAACTATGAAATTTTAATATGTCTTCTTGGAACTATTTGTACATAAATAGATGAAAGAAATTTTTCAATTTAAAACTTCTCTCGCAAAAATATTTTATAATTCTGGTCTGCATGAACTAACAATTGTTGTTGATTCTAAAATATTTACTTAATTGTTGAATGGCAAAAACTTCCATAAAACAAACTTTAATAATTTATATAAACGTTACTAAACATCAAATTCCCTGTGGCAGAAACGCAGCATCACGGCGAAATTGTTGCAGAATGTTACAGAGTTCTTTCAGAAAGATTTTTCTTTTGGGAAGTAAAAAAATTTGGCTTTCTTTTCTACAGAACTATATTCAAAAGATGCCTTTCTCGCACATCGGAGGAAAAAGTTGGGGCAACAGATCACTAAACAGAAATATCTCCAAATCATGAAAGTAAAAACATTATTGTAAATATTTTAATATAAACTATTATATGTTACATTTAGTGTTTTAAGAAGATCAGATGTCACTCAAAAACATTATCAGCTAAATTTTAACAGAGTATTTACAAAAATTAACAATGAAACAGATTGATATCTAACAAAATTAGAAATAAACAATGAAACAGAATGATTAAAGTAATCTATGACAAAAAGTAAACATTAATAAAAATGAGAAAACAAGCAAGTTTTCATAAAAAAGTTTAAAAAATTAAAAAGTGTAGATGATATTTAGAAAGGTTAAGAAGATATACTCACATTAAAGAAGCATAAACAACAAGGCAGTATTAGGAATCAAGCTAAAATTTCACATTTTACCAAGACGGAAAGTATTTCATAAACATCCGACATACTAAATAAGACAAATTAAGAGTAGATGCAAAAGCCATCAAACATCAATATGAAATTAAATACCTATTCACAGAAAATTGCATTCATTAACATAAATAAACAAAAGCGGTTCATAATTTAGAGACAGGAATTATAGAGCATATAACAAGATTAATTTGCAGTTAAACAATTAACATCAAAATTGTACAGATTTAAATAAATAAACAAAGGATTATATTGATGACTGGATCAATACAACTTATAGATATAAATAAACAAAACAATATCTTGACACTCATATGTACCAGAATCATATATAAATGCAGTTAGAGGAAATAGTAATTCTACAAAATATAAAAACAAACTATGATTCGTAGTTAGGCGCCAAAATATACATACCTGGATTTTTTAATGGCCCCAAGCTGCTTACATAATAAAAACAACGATGAGCATGAACAGGTTTTACTCGAGACAGAAGTTTGAATGAGACACGTGATGAGGATTTAAAGCGCATGCGCAAAGACAAGATCTAGTGGAGAAAGATGCGATGAGAACTTCTCATATGAGTGTGAAAAGATGAGGTGCATGGATTAAGATGGAACGTTTTTATCTGGATTTTTGAATTAAATAAATTGTTATGTGGTAATCTTCACATGAAAAATTTATTTGAAGTGATAAATTTTAAAAGGATATTTTTAGTGTGTGTGTGAACATTTGGATATTTCTCATTTCATTACTTTTGGATTTAATTTGAAAGTATCAAAAGGATAACCAAGAAGATGATTTAAGAATTCCCGCTTCAGGATGCTTATCTTTTCGTCTACTTTTCCGACGGTCAGGTATTGACGCAAAACTTCCGGTAAGCTTTAAGGCATATTCATGTCAAATATTTATAATCTACAATTTTAAATGGAAGATACTGAAAATAAGAAGAAATTTACTTTCTGCATAAGTCGGTTTTTTCCCCAACTACATTCATCACGTTTCTTTTTATTCTTTTACTTGTTTCTAAGAAAACTTGTGACTTAAAAATGTTGTTATGCTTCCCACTTTTTATAGCAATAATTATTAAATATTAAGATATTCGTAAAATATACATGTGTGTATTCGAACTCACAACGTTTATTATTTGATGTTTTACAACGTAAGTAAAATCTGAAATATTAAGTTTCAAATTAGAACTATGTCATTTCAATATGAAACGCACTAGTCAAAAAGTTAATTTAAACTTTATTCAATTTACAATTACAGTGCACAACAAAATATATATATATGAATTCAAACAGTATCTTAACTTTAAAAAAAAAATGCTAAGAACAAAATTTTAAAAAATGGAATTTTTTCTTAAAAGATTTTATTTTATTATTTAGTAGAAAGAGACTACATTAAACGATTATTGGAATTGAATTTTAATCGTTTGTTGAATGCAAACGATAATTAATATTAAAGATTTTATAAATCAAAGAATCGTTTGCATTTTACAAATTGTATTCCTTTTCTCAGTGTCAGCAAATAGTTTTTTTTAAATGAATAAAGTTTAATTAAAATACGATGCAGTTTTTGAATTTTAAAATAATAGTCCTCAAGTTCGTAATTANTGATAAATTAATGTCTGATATTTACAGGCTCCCGCTAGACGGCGTACTCGAGCGTTGCGATCGCGAATTGTAAATCTGGTTTTCCTGTATATCATACGAAAACAGCCTTACTTAATAGCAGAGCCTTATAGTACTTTTGTAATAAATGAAAGTAAAAAATAGTGATAATGTAAAATTTAAAAAAAAAAAATTTTAATAATTAAAAAAATACTGCTCAATCATAGAATCGTTTGCTCTCTTTCCTACTAACTGTATTCTTTCATTATTGAAATTACTATTTTCAATAAAATTAGATTTTTTCCCAGATACTTTTTGGGCTATACAAAGATTTTTGAGCGACTTTTCTGCAAGTGATTTAAAAATCGAAAGAATTCATTTCCAAATTTAAAGAAATTTATTATTAAAAAGAAAATGTGAGCGTAATTTTAATAGGAAACAGTCTTAATATCGAATTTATGTAATACTTAGCCTCAATATCGTTTTATATGACAATAAAAAAATAAATAAAATTCGCAATAATTGAAAATACATATGTAATTATATAAACATAACGTATTATTTAAAATTTTCAATATTGAAAACTTTTAATCACACTGTGGAAAGATTGTACGATCGTTGTAACTCCTGTAAATTGGTTTCACGGCAAGGAGAGATTATAATAAGTATTATACAATGCAATGATTTGTATTCATATCAGAAATGAGATCACATAAGTTTAGAATTAGAAATTTGGTTAGATAACTAAAAATGTTATAAATGAATAAAAAATTTTTTTTGTAAATAAATAAAAAAAAGTCTACCATTAATGTCAATTCTACGGACTTGACTAAATTCGATTGCTAATAGCCTAATTTAACTTTATTACTTTTAGTTTTAAGTTCCGTACCATAAGAAATGAATGCTAATGCTTTGAAATTTTAATTACACTTTCTATTATTACTCTTACATTTGTCAATTATTATTTCGTAATGTAGAACTATTTCATTCAAAATTCAATGTTATTGTAGCATTGCGCATTCCAGTTCGAAATAAGATTGGAAAGGTTTCAGTAAAACTCAAAATATCTACGAATTCAATCATTTTATTATTGTTGTGTAATTATTATCGATATATTTCGTATTCAATTACTATTATTGTTGTGTCTAACTTTCGTAGGTAATGATTGTTCATTTCGCATATATTTAATACGGGTTTTCTTAAGTAATGTGGATTCTTTGCAGTTCAATTTGATTTTTTTTAATGTTATTTACCTCTCTTACATATTGTGTACAAAAGTTCAACAATTTTAAATCATTGTGATGACATTCTGGTCATTAATTACTCATCGAATATCGTAGGGAATTTGAAAATACTTCGCTCATGAAATGACTTTCCGAACTCTTGATTTAATGCTTTATTTTGTGTTCGAGAAAGACGAATATTTACTTTTAAAAAAACTAAGAAAACGAATCGTTTTGGATTATAAAAGTTTATTTTGCTTTTGAAGCATCGAGAATGGCACAAATATGTTTGAAAATCCTTTTCATTTTTTAATATAAAAACTGATTTACTTGTTGTAACTTTCGAAGCAACAATATAATTATGTTATATATGAGAACCGCGCGTTTTTAAATGGATTGTTGTTTTTTTGTGTTGATGTTACTTATCGAAGAACTTAAATATTTGATCGTGGTGGTTCTGATGTAACATAATTATATGAGTGAGTGACTGAAGGATGCTAGAGAGATTTCACACGTTCTTGTGCACAAATATGTTTGAAAACCCTTTTCATGTTTTTAATATGAAAACTGGTTTAATTGTTGTAACTTTCGAAGTAACAATATAATCATGTTATACATGAGAACCGCGCGTTTTTATATGGATTGTTGTTTTTTGTGTTGATGTTACTTAACGAAGAACTTAAATATTTGATCGTGGTGGCTCTGATGTAACATAATTATATGAGTGAGTGAATGAAGGATGCTAGAGAGATTTCACATGTTCTTGTGCACAGGTTTTACGCAGTGAAGATACTACTAAAAACAACGTCAGTTTTCTACAGAGTTTGTGCAGAACCTAGTTACGTGAGCGTGCGAAATGTTACGTGAGAGAACCCAAATCTCTCTCATTTTTATAGTGTGATTGTAAATTTAAAACAAGACATGAAGACCCGTTTGATTACCTGATGTAATTAGTTTTTAACACTTTGCCGATCGAATGAATTGCGCATGAGTATATCCTAACCACTGCGCATTTTCTAACAGTTAGAACTTACTATACATTAATAAATACATAAGTGGGCGACCTTTAAGCTAAAATACAAAACTAAGGCAAACAACGTTAAAGAGCACAAAAATATCTATAAAATACAGACAGCTGTTTCGGATGCTCAAAGGGCAACCTTCATCAGTGCAACATCTCTTTCTGTTGCACTGATGAAGGTTGCCCTTTGAGCATCCGAAACAGCTGTCTGTATTTTATAAATATTTTCGTGCTCTTTAACGTTGTTTGCCTTAGTTTTGTTTTACTATACATTGCTATACGGGAGGATTTTCCCAATAGATCGGCAATGGGATGATAATCACCTTTACTTATCTGTTTTTTTCTTCTTCTTTTCCTGGTGATAAAAGAGGTTTTGATGTTTTCAATCCCATTTTCCTTAGCAGTCATTCGTTAGATTTCGTTAGATTTTTTTTTCTCAAAAAATTTTAATTTATGATGACAATCGTTATACTTTTTTTTTACTTTTTTTTTTCGAGGATTTTAAAAGTATATATTAAAAGTGGTAATCGTTATCATTTATTTCAAGAGGATTGAAATTTTCTTTTATTATTTTTTAAAAAAAATTTGGATTTCTTTTAAAACGCACAGATTCATTTTAGTTATTTAAAAGTGTAAATTATACGTGATACAGTGTTGAAAAATAGTGGAGATAACGAAAACGTGACCCAAAACTGAATTAGTTACTTTTATTATAATTATTAAAACATTCGGATGCAAAAAATGTTTAATTCAAATTTAGAGACTTTCACTTATAATATATTCTTGTCGACACTTTCACAATAGAAAAATATACTTTGTCAATGTACAAAACGATTATTATTATTTTTGAGGGAAACCACATCAAATAATCGTCGTCTATTATTTTAGAATGCTATACTAAAATTATATATAAGATTATGCTATTTCCGAAAAATTATACTATAACTCTATGATACATTCGAAGAGGTATAAAATAGCATTTTATGATGCTGCATTTTTCATTTCTAAAGTAGTTTTTATTTGTCATTTCGTTTGCCTACACTTGGAGAAGATAATTTTGGTAAAATTATTATACTTTGTTGTAATGATATTACTGATTTAAAAAATACTATAATTCTGGTATTAAAAGCCAAAGCATTTGGTATTTAAATTATTCACTTGGTAATTTTTCCATTCATATGGTAATGATTATTGGAAATTCTGGTTTTAAAAATTATGGTTCTTGTTACCACACATTTAGCAAAAAATACAAAACTGAAATGTGAACTCAACTATAATCGCATAAATGGTTTTTATGCCATGCTCTAAGGTATTCTGATAAAATTACCAAACTTTGTCACCTTTATCAAATTTTATCGCATGTTGTAAATTCATATTTAATGTTAATTTTACCGAAATCATTACCAAAGCTCTTCGGTAAAAATTACTGAGATTTTTGGAGTTTTCATGCAGCTAGAAAAACAGAAATTTTATCTGACAGTTTTGACCATACTTTTATCATTAGAGCACTTTTGTAACATTTTATTTTTGATATTAGCTTTTTCAATTCATTTTTACATTAAACGAATCATATTTTTTATTTGTTTCAAATACATTTTGATTTTTAGATTATTTTTCATTGCTTTACAAGAACTTTTCATGTTTAGAATTTTGAATGCTTCC